GACGGGATGCATGCACAAGACCGTACTGGCCTAAAACACAAATGTGCGGCATGCACCCTTTTTAAAAAATATAAAACAAAAAACATTAGATTAAATATGTATAATATGATCATCTATATAGACAGTTGTGCAATGTGGGGCAAAGGATCATTTGGTGTGGTGAAAGTGGTACGGGTGGAGGTTCCATTACATTTGAACCCACGTACATTTGAACCCATGACAATTGCACCTGTATGCTATCGCACCTATGGAATTTTTTGTGTTTCACGAATAGTTAAACCCATACTAACCCTAACCCATGGGTTTTAGCACCCGCATATAGATTGAACCCGTGGATATACGCATGGGTTCAAATGTACGGTCACCACGGGTGGAGTATACAAAACTGTTTATACAGGGGAGCTCATAAGACAGGGATGGCGAACCACTGACCCGCGGGTCACAAAGTGACCCACGTCGTTTTATTCGTGACCCACCAAGGCACGAATGAAATAAAAAAATGCTAACATATCAGTGCTAAAAAATTGATAAAACCGGCATTAATTATTAACTATATAAAACTATAAACTAAACTATAATGTACCGTCAGTTGGGAATAGGGTTAGTTCGGATACCTATAAATCATACTATCCGGATAACGGATATATCCGGGTATTTCGTATTTTAACTATCCGGTTAACCGGATAGTTTCTGCTAACTTCAGAGAACCGATTTCACAAGATTTTTGCGGCGAATTGACTAAAAACCACCACACAGTTCTATTGTAAATACGTACATAGGTATTATTTAGCTCGAATGAAAATGATTGTGCATTTGCATGTGTCAATAAATAAAAATTTGAGCTCTGTAATCGTACAGAAGTACAGCTGAATAATATAATGAAACATTTTTTTAAATACTGTGTCCTAATTGTCTTTCCCTCGACTGCTAAGTCATTTACTCATATTCGAATCCTTTGTCAAAATTTATATTATTCTTTTTTTTATTGTTAAATTTTTTAGAAGTTTTTTTTGTGTCTTGAGCATATTTTCTTTCAATTTTGACTCGTACTAAATTTTGGTGTCGCAGACTCACGATGACCATTTCTTTAAGCTTTTACGTTCAATTAGTTTAGAATAGATTTATTTCGGCTGGTATATCTATTGATTCGGTTGATACATGGAAATTTGAAAATACATATATACCAAAGTTAAAAGCAAGCACATAACATTTGGTACTCAAAATTTTGAAATGCTACACAGATTACATGGAATCGGAAGTGTTGTGAAATAAGTCCTCAAAATTCAAACTGGTTTACATCATGATGAAATGCGTTCCTTCAATACACGCAACAACTAAAAGCCACACCCGACGAAAAAGCAACACTCACACCCACCCAACCAATGCTTTTCAACTGAATTCGTTTAAGTTAGTCTTGCTTAAACTGTACCTCCAGTTCAAATCTAACTTTATAAAGCAAATGAGCTCTTCTAATAAGCGCAATATTCACATTTGTTCTGCGTGTTTTGTGATGTAATAGTGAAGTTCACTCCATCATTCTACGGATGGCTAAAATATAGGCAGATTAGAGTGGGAAAAGTTGTTATTATATGCTCTGGGGGATGTCAGTCGCCACTCAACAAAAAATATAAAAATCGCTAATGCGCATATGCATTATTTATACTTCTTCATTATCCGGTTAACCGTCACAATAATATCCGGATATCAGATAGCAAAATACCTCTTGGTTAACCGGTTATCCGGTTAACCGCTATCCGGATAATCCAACCCTAGTTGGGAAGTCAAGGCTGCGATCGCTCATATTCGAATTTATATTTTCGGGCCGGTATGATAATTTTCAAAACCCCTAATCTTTGACGCACGTCTGCACCGCTGTGTACTGTTATTCAGCCATTGGCTCTGACATCGTTTATGATATAACAATGCAAGCGATCTGTTCATTTTTCGCAACGCCTTGTCTCTTTCGGAAGTGCACCTGCATGCTTTTTTAGGGGTTATACGAGAACTAGATGCTACTTTGCATTTCACTAGTTTCTCATCTACAATGCCGCTGAGAAAACAAAATCTTCCAGACTTGAAATAAAAACCTAGAATCCGAAATACCAATGGGGCAGTGTAAAAGTGCTTTAATGTGGTTGGAAGCAGATCGAAAAATATAACACTATCAGAGTGGAATTCCCTCTAAGAGTCTAAACTATTTGGTACCGTAAATAAATTTTCCCCATCATCCTAAACCTTTTTTGGTAATTAATATGCGGGTTTTCGTACTCTAATTTCATGAAATCGAGTGCCATAAAAAGTCCATAATAGAAATGCTGCATTATCCTAAAACCACACCAACACCAACAGAAGCTTACAATATTTGATTCAGAAGTTTCTTATAGATACAAACATTGATTAAATATCTGTGACCCACTCTCTTCTGTTCCGCGATAAAAATATAATTTTTGGAAAAGGTTCGCCATCCCTGTTATAAGACAAGACAATATATATAAATGGAGACAACACAGCACCAAATAAACATATACATAACAATGAAATCAAAATTTAGGCGTAAATACAGCGCCTTTTGAGTGGTGAGACCATATAGACATAGTATGAATGGGCGAAGTATAAGAGATAAATTTGCGGTTCTTATGCTTATATTGTATGCGTCACTCAAGGGTGCTAGTAGAGTCTTTGATAGAATATATCTATTTCAGCAAAAATGTGAACCATACAGATTTTGTTGAAATACTTCAGTTCGAGTGTCAAATTCTTAGGTATCCTTGTTTTATTTATAAAATTGAAGCCGAATGTGGTAAAAATTAAAGGAAAAATAAACTTAAAGAAAAGCATTCCAACAAAGCCTGTCATGATTGCATTTTTTCCAGAAGAAAATAAATGTATAAAAGTACTATTGAATTAAGGCTAACATTTTATAAAAAAGAAGCATTGTTTCCATGTCATGGATTGCCCTAATTGTATTAGGATCGCAATAGAGTAATGTAGTTTCATGGGGGAAGGAAGAGAGGAATATATTTGATTTTGTGCCATGACCTATATGAGAAAGAAAGGGCCCAGCATGCTACTTTGACAAAGAGAACTGTTTCTATTGATGGCTGGATTCAAATTTGATGTAATTGTAATTTATTATCTTTAATCTAATTTGCTGTTTTTATTGTCTTTGTCTAATTAAGCATGATAATAAGATTAGAAGGGTGAGTTAAAATATTAATTCAGTTCATTGTTTCGTATTGCATTCTGCTGAGGTAGCCTGCGGAGTTTGAAATCGCCATCTACTGGGTGGTGATCTGATATCCTTCGGAGTTTCCTGTTGGTACTTCCAATCCAAATAGTCTCTAGTAGCCCATCTTAGTAACCGAATTCCCTAGAAAAAAATAAACTCCGAAACAGTAATATGTTCAAAACAAAGATTTTGGTTAATATGATGATAACAAGTTTGGAACGAAATTCTGAATTTGATTATTATATCTACTTAAACTCTAACCCTAACCCAAATCAATCAAAACTGTAGGTGACCGTACATTTGAACCCACGTACATTTGAACCCATGTGTATATCCCCGAGTTCAATCTATATACTGATATACAGGTGCTACCCATGGGTTAGGGTTAGTATGGATTCAAATATCCACAAAACAAAAAAAAATCTCCATAGGTGCAATAGTATGCAGGTGCAATTGTCGTGGGTTCAAATGTACGTGGGTTCAAATATACGGGAACCAAAATTGTATCCATAAGTAAAACGTTCCAACTTACCCAATATTTGTCACCATAAGGAGTTGTTCGCCATATGATTATTAATCCGTCTTTTTTATCGGTTTTTCTATCCCCCGTGATAAATATGTAAATCCTATCCTTCACGATCCTGTAACAGACCACTTTACGACAGTGAAAATCAACGACTAACATACAACAGACTTGCGGTGTTGTCTGGTGTTGCTACACTTGTCACGTGACGCGACGTCCAGTACGCTATACTTGCCTAAAAAGCGTTTGTTCTTGGTTGTTATGAACCTTCGAAACTGCGGGCGCGTTTGTCGTTTTTCTCGGCACCATCGCCGTTATGTATCTGCAATATGATTAGATTGTTTATACGTACTCAAGTACTCGTATTGATGTGTGTTTGTTTCGGTTGGAATATTCTAAATAAAAGTATACCGGTACGGTGTTGACAGAGCATCCGCGGTTGGGTCGTCTTACGAAACCTGTACAGGTACCGGTAATACAGGTAGGGTGGGTACCGGTACCGGTACCACGCAAGAACGACCTAATCTAACATTGACACTTGACAGCCTGGAAATCGCTTTCTGTTGGTTTGCTGGTGTGGAGTAAACGCGAAATAAAAATGTGATGTAGAAACAGTAGTTCAGTAGGCCTAGTTGAAATCTGTATTTGATTACTGCGCGTGGGTTCACAGGTTCGAATCCCATGCGGGGATGATTATGTGCGAGAAGATTGCTGGTCTCCTCGCCGCTGTAGGGTGGTTCACATACTGTAACCGCTGGTCGATTACGGCTTCCTCCACTATTAAGTCCATGCTTCCGAAAACAAATAACTGGCTAACTAATCCCATACCGGTATCCAGATATCCGACATAGTCGGAAAGAGGTCAACAGATATTAAGTCTATGCATCTGAAAACAAATAACTGGCTACCGGTATCTAATCCCCGTGGACTGGTAACCGGACGAGAGGTTGTGGTTCACCATGTGGTTAATCCGTCTTATCCACTTCCCCGGGATATATATGTGAATCCTATCCTAAATTTAACTCTGCAACTATGGACAGGACTCAGCTGCATGATAATCAGACATCGTAACTGTCGTTATCTGGTAGACATTTCTACATTCATTTTGATTCGAGGACAGCTGATAAATCGTGCTGGAAACATTCGGCAACTGTTTCAATATAGTACATGTTATAAACTTTTCATTTTGTAAGTTCAGGCAAATATATTCGAATAAGCGAGTGATATAAATAAGTGATATCAGCAAAAATGCCGTCCATCAAATTACAAAGTGCAGATGGAGATGTTTTTGATGTAGACATTGATATTGCCAAACAATCTATGACCATCAAAACTATGTTGGAAGATCTAGGAATGGAGCCTGGTGATGACGAAGAATCAATTCCATTACCAAACACAAATGCCGCAATCTTGAGAAAGGTGGTATATCATAATTATAACTGGGTTTTTTAATTAATTTGTATTATTTTTTCATCTGAATTTTTCTGTTTTTGGTGCTGTTAGAGTTACGTCATAATTTCAGGTACAAATATTACGGGAGTCACTCGGTTAGTCCCCGAACTCGTAATACAGTAATAGAACTAAAATAAGAAAAAATAAAATTATGGCCTTACCCTAACCTGGTACACATAATACATTCCGGCCACCGCCATCTTGGTACGCATATCATAATTATAACTGGGTTTTTTAATTAATTTGTATTATTTTTTCATCTGAATTTTTCTGTTTTTGGTGCTGTTAGAGTTACGTCATAATTTCAGGTACAAATATTACGGGAGTCACTCGGTTAGTCCCCGAACTCGTAATAGAACTAAAATAAGAAAAAATAAAATTATGGCCTTACCCTAACCTGGTACACATAATACATTCCGGCCACCGCCATCTTGGTACGCATAGGCTACTTCAGGAGTACCGAATTTTTTCGGTAGCGAAGGTTCCAGCATTCCTTTAGCTTCCAACTTATATTTGAGCAAGTTAAATACAATTTGTTACTGTCATATGACCATAATATGAGCTTAGCGATATAATTGGTGGTGTATCATCGATTATTGATATAACTGTATTACTATAGATTGATATAGCATGGGATTTACGTATTAATTACGAGCGAAGAAAAGCCGATGACTTGATCGGATAGCAAACCACAGCCTTCCTTCCAGTTACCGGGAGTAGGTGAACTTGATGGCGGATAAAGCCATAACTGACCAGTGGTTATGTGAACCATCCTGCGGCAGCGAGGAGTCCAGCAATCCTCTCGCACATAACTATCCCCAACAGGTTCGAACCTAGGCAGGGTAATCAGATGTGCTGTGGCAAGTGTGAATTGCTAATTCTTAGCATGATGATGCGACACACCGCATAAACAGGTTTACATTCTCACATTTTGGCTTAGTAACTATCCAGGCCTACTCATTATCTAGGCATGTTTTATAATGAAAACATTTTCTAACTCTGGATTATACTATTTGGTACTGGAGTAATGTGGGCCTAACTGGTTGATCATATACTATTTGAGTTGTGTATCATAAGTAGGAAATGGGTTTTTGAATAATTATAATCACCAATTAGTTTTATAGATCTCAATCTGAGTTACTCTTAGTGGCTAATCTGTTCTCTTGTTAATTAAAATTGGTATTTATCTCAGATTAAAGTTAGTTAGTTAAGTCAGTTAGTTAATAAAAATGCATCTCTAGTGTACAAAACAAAGCAATGTGAAATACATTTTCCATCTCTTTTATATAGTTTTCTTCTGTTCTGCACTGTTTCTTCCTGTTAAGTGTTATCATCAATTCATTGTGTTGTCAATTCAGTCTTATTCAATAAACAATTTATTTTGATGTTGCAATCCAGGTATTACAGTGGTGCACACAGCACAAAGATGATCCCCCTCCACCAGAAGATGATGAAAATAAGGAAAAAAGAACTGATGATATCCCGGTTTGGGATCAAGAGTTTTTGAAAGTTGATCAGGGAACACTTTTCGAACTCATTGTGGTGCGTATTAATTGTCATTTGTTAGTATATGTCATTTCGACTCCATAATCAGCATAACAATAAAATTATTGATAAAAACAAATACATAAAAACTGAATATGAAATCAGGAAAGCAAACAATACCTTAGATAAGGTTCAAAACATACAGGATGTATATAAGATGGAAGGTTTTGCCAAGAAGAAGTGGTACGTGTTCACTCACCCTAAAATTATTATAATTATTTCACACACACACAACCACAGAGACATTATTTAAGTAAAAAAGAAAACACGATTAGCTTAGGGTAAACTACACATGGTGATGGTTGAATGTTTTGTCATCAAATATCTGTGTATTATATAAACTTTGGGAGTACCAACTTTGGATTGCATTGCATTAGTCAATCTTTTAAATCTATCAATCAATTTCATTTTGGTTGCTCTGGCATAAAACAAAACAACAACAAACGGACAAACAAAATGCAGAGACACCTGGAAGACAAACATAACCTAGGTTCAATTGGTTTAAATATTACAAGTATCAACCTAGTTCTTGGTTAGTCTATGACCGTACTCGTCTATAAATACAGACAGGAGAAAATATTACTAAAATACCTGATGCTTTGTTATGCAACATTTAGTAACATTTAGCATATAAATTCACTAACATTAGTCATTACTAAAGATTTGCTTGAGACAATTTATATTTGTTTAAAGGATACAATGATAGTTTCTTCCCCCTCTCCAATCAGATAGATTTTTCTAAAGCTCTCGTTTTATTCGATTCGATTACTCGATTCAATAAACACTATTTCAAAATGCCTTCATTTATCTTGATAATCAGTGTGGTTTGTGCACATATACGACTATCTCGAAAAGCATTCTCTTGATATATCTTATGCCATTCATTAGTAAGTGGGAAACGGTAAAAAAAGAGATAATCTCAATTGGAACTAGCCATTTAATAATGCCCAATACCAATTCTGGCGAAAGAAAATAGTCCAAATAGTTGGCGAAAAAAGTTCCTTTTTGGTAAATATCAGAAATCAAGCCATTTTTCTCCTCGATTAACTTCAGCAAGTGAATGACCTCTTTAATAAATATTTTATTATGTCGAATTACAAAGTTTAATTTTTTCATACAGGCAGCAAATTATCTTGACATCAAAGGTCTTCTTGATGTGACTTGTAAAACTGTTGCAAACATGATCAAAGGCAAAACACCAGAAGAAATTCGAAAAACGTTTAATATCAAGAATGATTTCACTGAAGAGGAGGAAGCACAGGTATGCACAAGCACAAGGCTTTACATTGTGGTTCAGTGAAGCAAAGGCCGGGGAGCCACAGTCTTCAAACTGCGTCTTAATAGAGCCTTTTTCTTGACGATGTAAATATAAATCACTTGGTGCCCATCATACTACGAAATACAAGTATAAACAACGATATGACTGTCTGAATTTTCAATTTATATTTTGTGTCAATGTAGGCAATCAAAGAATAGGTCCTCCCTGTAGTGTGTGTACCAGACCAGGTTAAAGTTGGGCCATAATTTTAATTTGATTTTTCTTATTTTAGTTCTATTATGAGTTCGGGGACTGTCTGTGTTAGCCAATATACTGCCTGCCCATAGGTTTCAGTCCCTTCACACAACTTGATGTAAAGCAGGCAAACAGAATTAGTTACCTTCATATTGGTACACATACTTCTGGAGCGTCAAAAATATCCCTCTAATCTGCTTTATGCACAAAATTAAGGTTATGATAAATACTATGCTTGTTGTTGGCATACTTCACTGTCCTCCCAGTTTGTATTAAAATAGTTTTCTGGAATTTCAAGTATTGTTTTAATTTTTCCATGAAGTTTTCTTGTTGTTGAGAAAATGAAAATATTTATAGCTCATTTGAATCGTTTGTGTAACTTTGATGCTTTTTCTGTTACAGGTTCGCAAAGAGAACCAGTGGTGCGAAGAGAAGTGAATAAAAGCAAATATAATTTTTATATGTAGTTTGGAAAATTTTCGTTACTTTTTCTGTGTATATATTGACGTTTATTCTCCACAAAAATATTTCCTGTGATTTTGATTTAGTGTTTGGCATTTTTGATTGCTTATGGTTGTTGAAATTGTGTATCGGACCCACTAACATTTCAGAAGAGTTTCGAGTACATAGTGATTCTGGAATTCTGCAAGATTTGAAAATTTCTGATAAATCAATATTTTTGGGTAAACCCTTTTGTATATTTTGTGAAATTTTTCGTAATTTATGTTAGAATTATTTTGAGTACAACTTGGATACTCCTGTACTTTCTGGAATTAGTTTGGTTATATTTTTTTTTAAATATAATAGAGTATTACAGAAAGTCTGTTGTGTAAACTAATGTCAAATTGCCTCTGGTAAGAATGGATAATTGTGTATATATTTTTGGACCCCAAATTTCCAATACATGTATTTTGGTTGTCATATTGTTATTTCTTCGAAAAGTTTCAAAACACCAAGGCACTAGATGCAGAATATATTCATCAATTCTTGTTGTGTGGCACACGTCCCACTCAGTCAGTTGCCGTGTATTTTGGTATGACTTATTTTGATTATGTACAGATCACAAATTTTTCATGCTCATCATTTTTCTTTTGGCAATGTATGACAACAATCAAATGTACGGATTAATATTGGTATTTGGTATTCTCCACCATGTATGGTGTGATGCGTCTGATGTTCATTTTTTATCCAATAAAAGTAGTATTTTCAAGTGTTTTTGTAATGTTATCACCTCACATCAGTACTATCAAATATTTTCTGGTGTTGTGTATGAAATTTTGAAAGTTTGTTTCATCAAACTACGGTATTATTTGCAGTAACGTGCGCTGAGATGTCTAACTCCTATCTGGTCACACCTAATAGGTGATGGATATCACATTATCATAACCTGCCTACGAGTTTGTGTGGCTATCTTGGAGCCCTTTGTTTGAAAAAATATATCCTTCCATTACTCTGGGGGGTGGGGGGAGAGAGAGAGAGATTTGTTGCCATGAAATGAAGTCAACACTATTATAAACATAAGCCAATAGAATTTTTTTTTAACATTAGGTAATTTTTTTGTTCGGGTCAGTGTATAGCACAATAAGGTCATCTAGGCCGCACCGGTCCGCGGACCAGCGGGTTGGAAACTACTGATCTAAGCTCCCACACTTGTGTACAAGCTTTCATCCCGGCAGATGTGACAAAATAGAAATAAATGGATAAGTCGGCAATTTATGGGTTAAGGAGGGGTTTAGTTGGTGTGGCGCAACGTGCTAAGCGTTAGGAACACGCTCGCCACCTCACTACCCAGCGTGTGTTCGAATCCCATGTGGGATAGGACTGCTGGACTCCTCATCGATGTAGGGTGATTCACGTAAACGCTGGTCTGTTACGGCTCAACGGGCTAAGCGTTAGGACAGCGTTTCCCAACCTTTTTTGGTCGCGGACTGTTTTCTCACCGGCGAAAACCTTTGCGGACTCGAGGTGCGTTTATTGCAACCGTACTCTGTGTAAAGCAGCAATAAAACCAAACACAACGAATTTTAAAATCGAAAATTCGCCGCAATTACGCGTTCGTTAAAAGAGCCGACATTTTTGGTGTATAATGGATTTTTCTGTCACACTGTGTATTAAAATGTATTTATATTTTAATTTAATTAATTGTGTTCATCATGGTAACTCGCGGTTGCGTCGACTTACGACAAGATGAAGGCATTACTTTTTTTAAAACTCCACTGCCATCTGCGAACATAATAATGAGAATTGAGAGAATATATTGCCTGAATATATTTTATACATATACATATTTTTTTCGATCTTGCGAATTCGTTATCTCTGTCAGAAAAAATCATACTATCTGCTATAAATTTCCGGAACGTACAACTTAATTTACTATTTATTAAAAATATATTTGAAGTATATATATTAGTAAATCAAGAATACATATTCATCGAAAGAGAGAGAGAGAGAGATTTATTTTCGTCAACCAGAAAAAAAAAAATACTGAAACAGTAGCAACAATAAAAATATATACAATGATATGTAGAGTTTTTCGGTATAGACTGGGAGGAGCGATACGACCATACGGTCATCAGAGTCAGCTCCCCCCATATTCACTATTTTAATTATGCATATAAGAATTCTTGGGTTAGTATATGGTATAAAAGAGAATGGATAAGGTTGTCTGGTTTTCTACAAATGAAATTCTCGCGACAACTTCTGAAGTAATCGTCGCGTATACGTCACTCGTTAAAAGAGCCGACTTTTCAGTGATTTTTTTCTGTTGCATAAACTATTCAATCCATCCCCATGTTTGATTCTTTTAAACTGCGGTTGTGTTGACGAAATAAGAGCAATACTACTCAGAAAATATCATGACAATCCGTGGACACAAAAATGCGTGGTAAAGTGCCCGATTATATCTTGTTTTGACTCGTATTTTTGTGAATTCGACATTACTACTGTGCGTACCAATCTGGAGGCAGTAGAGCAGAGCATCCTAAAAGAAAATGCCCTGGTACGTATACTACGGTAGCCCCCGAAATTTTGCGATTTGCAATGTCTAAAAAAGCGTTTTTAATCGGTCGCGGACCGCTTTTCAATTTAAAAAATTTGAGTTGCCACCATTTACACCTACCAGAACATTTTTTTATTCCTCGTTGTTCGAACTCGCGAGAAACACCTATTACGAATCTATCGTAGCGTGTACAAACTCTTGTTTTCGTCGGAAATCCACAAGTGAGTTGTGAAATCCAATCGTTTGATTAAGCGACTCGGAAGTGACCTGTCGCGTCACATGTTACCAAATTTCCGATTAGTAAATATGCTATTCTAATAGTTGAATATTCGAATATATGCCCAGCCCTACTCAGTAACCAGTGATTATTGACGCGAATAATGTCATGTGAATAAACCGACTTTTCATTTTTTTTTTGTAAATTCTAACGCAAATCCTAACTTGGCTGATAGTTAATCAAGTTTCGCAAAAACAGTGAACTTCTGACTCGTTGCGGACTCATTTGAACGCTCTGCGGACTCATTTGAGACCGCGGACTCGGGTTGGGAAACACTGCGTTAGGAATACGCTCGCCACCGCACCTATGATTACTCTGCGTGGGTTCGCAGGTTCGAATCCCATGCAGGGATGGTTATGTGCGAGAGGATTGCTGGACTCCTCGCCGTCGTTGGGTGGTTCACGTAACCGCTGGTCGGTTACGGCTTCTTCCACCACCAAGTCCATGCTTCCGAAAACAAATAACTAACTAATCCCATACCCGACTTGGAATGGTAACCAGACGAGAGGCGTGGTTCGCCATATGGATAAGCCGTCTTCTCGGCTTTCCTCTCCCCCGGGATAAATATGTAAATCCTATCCTATCCTATGCAAAGATTTTTTTTGTTCCCTAGGTTCTAATATACTTCACATCTTTAATACTTTTCAATAAAGATTCTAAAATTTAATGCGTTAATTTATTTTCTTCTCCTGAACTGTAATATAGCTCCGGTTACACCAGACTTGACTCCGGTTTTCAACACAGCTTCGACATCGCTACATAGTGGTGAAAAAAAGTTACCGCACCTTTAGGCTGGAGCTTCCTTCTGTTAGTGTGCTGAACTTCTGCGACTATCGTCCGACTAATCGTCCAAGGGACCTGTAGTTCCAGAACAGAGAAGGGATATTCATATATTGCTAAATTATGGATTTTGAGGTTAGTTCCGCCGTGACATGCACCATATTACTGAATCTGTCAGTCTGTGATGATATTATTTTCTTGTCCATATTTTTTTCCATTTTTGATCCCGGTCTGTGTTCAATAAAACAAAAAAACTTTTTTTCTTCCATTGGACATGATCGGCTTCAATCAATACATGACTTCTCAAAATCCTAAATTGCCCCTTGATAACTTACAACATAATTACATGATAATCAATCACTGTTATTCTGTTACCGGTATTACGGCTGAAATATTTTCTTTATTGTATTATGTTTTTATTAGTGTTGATATTGTTTTTGTGGTAATAAATCTTTTTCTAACATTCTGCAGTTCAGTACCGTACCGGTAGTTATTCTCCGATTTTTGTGCGATTCGTGGAAAAATTGCCTCATGATCCTGCAGTATGAAAGTATATTGGTATAACCAAAAAGGGCGTAAAATATTTTCTGACAACTGTAAAAAATATTATACTATTCCCTGGGCGATCTTGGTAATGAATGACTACATTTATTAATCATGTTTGTGAAAAGCAGAAAAGTGTTGCCCTCGGACCTATTTTGTTTGTATTCGCATCTTCACATTCACATCTTAAATTGATTTAAAAGTTAGGCCTACGTTTGTACGTTTTTATCGAGTTATGCTCGCCTCCCTGGTACGGTAACTCTGCAGTAGAAGAAATTTGTTATTACCGTATTTTAAAAATATTGTGATAGAGATAAAGACAATTTGATTCGATCAAATTACATGAAAACATCCCATCCTATCAGTTATTGCAAAAAAAATGATATATTCATATCAATAATAATACTGATTTATATAGGATGAAGATCTCACTGCATTGCGCTCAGCTGCTCTTGCGTCATTATCTTCAAAAGCTCAAGAGGAGGCCGAACCACAAGATGATGAAGAAGATTTATCTGCATTACGCTTGGCCGCTCTCATGACAAGAAAAGCCAATCAAAAAATTCAGGTTATTTCACAGCGACTCACAGAACTTAAACAGACCCCAACAGAGTATCGATCTCCTGCAGCAACACAAGTTACTTTACAATCGAACACTTTCAACTTGCCTCCAGTAAGTGAATGATCTTGATTTTTATATAAGCAACATGTTGTATATTATATGATGCAATACCGCTAGGTGGCGCTATTGACCCAGACTGATTTGACCTTGTTCATCCGAGGCTGTCGTTCTTGTTCTATCTGTTCACGTGTTAAGTGCTGACTCGCTGTTTAGTCTGTTACTGCTATGGTGTCTTACATGTCTTAACGGTAATTAAATTAAATAGTAGAGTAGTAGAATTAAATAAGGAAAAATTTTCAGCTCATTACGCAACATCCCAGAACGCTTTATATCTGAATAATTTATTGTTTTAGAATCCTTAACAGCAATTATTTTCATTTGAATCTTATACAAATTACATTTTAGAAGACGTATCAAATTTAGATAATTGTTCACATAGACCAAATTTATTAATGATAAAACTGTAATTCCTAAGTGTCAAAAGTAACAATTTTAAAATGCGAGTTAGATTATATATGAACATTTTTTTTAACTTACTTTTATTTACAGATGACGTTGATGTCATTGCCGCCACCATCTGGCAATCCACTTCAAATGAGACTTCCACCTCCACCATTACCTGGGAATATTATCAGATTGAGAGAACGATTTACCACCCCACCAGTGAATTTTCATTTGAGGTTGTTTCCACCTCCGGCATCTGGTCAGATTTTAAAACCAGCGCCACCTGCCCCACCAAACTTTCTGCGTATGAGAGAGCCGCCACCAAGTTTTCATTTAATGACGAGACCATCTCCAGGACACTTTATTCGGATGAGAGAACCCAGGCCTCGTCATGGGAATTTTCATCATATAAGAAATCCTTCATTAAGGCCTCCTCTTCTACCCACACCTGGTACGAGGGATTCAAATACTGGAAGTAACTTGATCAGCCTAACGCCTGGTCCTAACACTTCAGGTATGTTTTGTTTTTATTATTGTCTACAACAGCCACAGATTATCAAAACTGGTGGATATTATTTCTATTTGATTTTTGAAATTTTAAACCAGTGTGCAAATAATGTAATTTGCGTAGTTTTGAATATGATAAAGAAACCACACTAGCATATCGAGGAGTAATATCTAATTAAAAAAACAGGTTATGATGATAAGTATGATATAAATAGATCGAAGCAATTTGATGAAAGTCCGAACAAGCTCGGTGATGATCTAAACATCTATTTTATCGATAGGTTGATTTGGATGAAGGATAAAGAAACGGCTCTGTTTTTATCGGTGTGTAAATCACTGTTTAGTTAGTTGCTGAGAAATTTAGAACGTCGGCAAATTACGTCACTTCACTGCATTAATTTATTCTTTTACATTTCGCATCAGAGATCTTGATTTACTGGGACCCTATATATCTGTTAATTTTAGCGATAACTGTTATGATATATCGATCAACAAAATTGTAAAATTAATTAAATGTAATTTATTATATTCAGTGCCAGCAATCAGCATGCATTCATCATCGGTAGTCACAGTTCGACCTCAGTCTCAGTTTATCCGACAAAGATTTCAGACAAGGAATATTCGTCCTTCAATGCAAAAACAACATCAAAAACATGTACCAAAATCTAAGCCCGAAGTCGTTCCAGAACCAAAAGTACCAACGAAGTTTGATCGATATGATAATTCATCGTCAGATGAAGATGAGGAGCATACAGCTATTGAGAAAAAAAATAATTCTGATGATAATGAGGAAGAAGAACAATCTGATGTTGAATCAGTCGCTTCTGGAAAGTTAGTTTCATTTTGAGATAAAATATATACCATAATGGTAGAAAAAATTGCTAAAAATCAAGAATTTTTCTTAAAATTTGTCAAGTTTGATCACTCTTGAGGATTTTTTCAGATACTGCTATGTTGTAAAGGCTTTTATTTATAAATTATAAAACAGACTCTAATATTCAATTTTATGTAAAAATTATTCTAAAATATTTCTATCTGACTTTATATTCGATTCGAAAATGAATTTTTGTGTTGAATCGGAGATTTCGATTATTCAAATTCCTGAGAAATTTTGGTATTGGACTTATCAATTTTTTTTTTTCGTACTGAATTTGTTAAATATTTTGGATTTGGGATAATCTTTTTGAGAATATTATGCATATTGACTAATTCACTTTATAACTTTTAAAATTTTACTCGTTTTTCACTGTCCGCCATGTGAAAACGTTCACCACCAATTTGTTTTGAACATGGAATATTTATAATTTTAGATCATTCAGCTCAGTAAGTGATGTTGATAAATTCGATACGGCAATTGATGAAGGTGAAGATTTAGCCGAGAATGAAAATGGAGAAAAAGTTGAAAACGAAAATGACGAATCTTCTGTAGAAAACGACAAAAACATTGTAGAAACCGAACATCTTAGTGATGACAACATATCGATTCATGATCCAAATGAGGAAGATGATATTCTTGCAGCTATTGATGATTTTCTCGAAGATAGACCGGAAAAGGAGAAACCTAAAAAACCAACGAAAGTGAATAAACCACCATCGATAGAAAAGAAACCTCCAGTAAAAGTAGAGAAAAAAGTGATTGAAAAGCGAAAACCAGTTAAACCACCTTCAAGAAAGACAAGCACTAGTTCGAAGGTACATGCGTATTGATTAGTATTTCGCCATATATTTTTATCTTGTCTGTTGGATATGAAGATAGGTATTAGCAAGCAACAATTATACAGCAGGGAGTAGGGCGGTCTGTTCAATCTTATGTTATTCGATTAGGCTACTTGAAATGTTATTAAATCTCATTGACATATTAAATTGAATGCCTTTTAATAAGGTGAATTTTTGAATAGAACTTTACAGACTTCCGTTGTTTGTTACCTTACTCCATGTTCATCAAGCAAGATTTTTTTCATTGTGATATTCTACCTGCTCAATTTCAAGGTCTTAATAAAAAAAGGATTGAAAAAAAGATATTGAAAAAAGAGTTTCTGATAAGTGATAATAAAATATTAGTTCTGTATACATGGGATGCTCATAAACTATTAGTCGATCATGTTTATTTCGAGAAATGATGTCTAAACTATCTGGTAAATTGTGGTTTACTAATATTTATAAAGTAACTTATTTTTGACTATTTTGTTCTGTTATTTCAAGGCAAGTGACGAAATAGCCGAAGAATCCAAGAGTGGTCCACCGAAGACTCTACAAAAGATACTTGCAAAACGTGAAGCAAAACAACAAAATACTAAACCTCAGAAAGCGATTACAAAAGTTTCAGCTCCAGTTGTAGAACTCCCAATTAATGAACCAAAAACACAATCTTCAAAATTTAACAAAGAAGCTGTTTGGTGGGTAAATTATTTTACATAGAGGCTAATTGACAATTTTCACATCAAACAAATTTTTAATATAGTTCGAGAAAATGCTGTAACCTGTAAGTCTTGAGAAACAGACTGCGACTCCAAACTCGAGCTGTTTCAGAAACAACTTGGAGCTGTCATTTAGGTTGATAAGAATTTTGACTCAGACCTCGGATTCCAGCTTAAAAAATTTTGGCTTTTTGAATTACTGTCAGGAATTTTGATCTAAATTATTACAAAGCTATCTGAAATTCTGATTCCCAACTTAGATGAATTCAAAATTCTGAAAATACAACCCGAACTCTAATACTTAATATAAAACATTCTAAATTACGTCTCCACAGCCCTTGTTTGAAGTATTTTATATTTACTTTTATAATGCTGCTCTCTAATTTTTTATTTTGGTCAATTTGTATCACTTATCAAGTAGGGCCTACGTTTTCTAATCAGTTTCAGTATAAATATTGAGCTTGGCGTTTACATCAATTGTTTAACAATTCACAATTTGTGTTATATTAATATTTAGGTCAGTGAATCCTCCACCTGCCAAAGAAAATATAACAACAGTGGCAATGCCTGCACAGCCCAATACTTACACAATTCCAGTTTTCATGACGCAAAATCAGTTTTCTCCTCCAAGACAAAGAAGGGATTCTGATCTAGATAGCGTAGGAACCTCTGATCTAAGTTTTATATCGAGTGAAAGTGAGATTGAAGTTGAAGAAAAGGTGGGTGAATGTATTAGTTTGGATGAAATTTGAAAAGATCTTTTTATCATATTTTTACTGTCAATATCTGAATATTTCTTACATTTAATCTTCCAATCAATATGGAACTAATACTAGAACTAAAATAAGGAAAATCGGAATGAAATTATGGCCTAACCCTAACCTGGTACACATACTACGGGAGTACCACTTTACCATTGTAAGGCACAAGACGAAGAAATTGTGGGTTTATGACAACATTATGCTTTTCACAACTCGTATCAGTTTTATTGATCTCACTATTAAATTTTATTAATATGATGATAGTTCACTCTGACTCGCTTCGACCCGTTGCGACTGACTCATTAAATGACATGTAATTAATTAATTAATTAGTTGCACAAGATATTTGTAATTTTTTTGATATTTTTCACATAGTAATTTTCCTCCGGCTTTATGTATATTCTTCCGATTTATACACAAATCCCGGTTTCCAACTTCAGGCTTGGAAAAATTACAACTGCAACGATGTTCCCAACTATGAGCATCCCGATTTTTTTTTTGACAAAACTGTATACAGGCCCTCCTCATTTGTCTATTCTAAATACTTAGTGAACTTGTTACAATATTTGTTTCAGTTTCATAACTTTTGACTCTGATTGCCACCAACAAGGTCTGAAATTCTGACACCATAGAAATCAAAATGTCTACTTAGGCTCCGAATTCCCACTTTGAGAAGTTTAAAAAAGCGACAAATAATAATAAAATCACACTGAACTCCAGTTCTATTGTATATCTCCATACCATCTTGATGATTTTTTCCCTCATTGCAGAAAACTGAAACCAAACAAACTCAGAGAAGACCAAGAACAAGATCAATGTCAGGAAGTAACAATCAAGAAAGATCGAGATCTAGAGATGCAGAAAGGTGACAAATTTTAATTAATCTAGTGTTTATTAGTAATTTGGTTGATTTTTCAAATTATTGTATTTAGAATGAATTAAATAAACATTTAGTGATATTATTTATAGGGTGCCATAATAATGCAATTATCTGAATAGCACTTTCTGATGAAATTTTCTCTGGTTTTTAGCATTATTTCATTATTTTAGACCATCACAATCAAAAAAGTCACAAAGAGAAGACCGTTCATCACCAACAGTAAAGACTTCTAAAATATCCGCCAGACCTGACTCGGCATCTTCAAAAAACAATCAAAACTTGGATTTAAGAAAGAAACTAGAAACACGAGGGATTGTTAAACAAAATGTTGTTGTTGATAATGAACCTCATCAGAAAAAAAACACATCGACAAAAGATAGCTCACAAACATCGCGTCGAGCTTTTTCTCCTGTCAGGAAAACAGGAGTTATAAGTTTAAAAAAGAAAAGCAGTCGCATTCCTCCTCCAACACAACCAAAGAAAAAGTCGAAATCTCGATCAAGAGAGAGTTCACCTGATAATATAAAACTGCCTGATTTAAATGAAGCAAGGAGGATTATAATAACAAGGTAGGTTAGGTCCTTCATTAGTTAACGATTTAAATGTTTATATATATTTTTATACCTAAATATATTTGAATTGACTCGCGTATATTTATTTGTACGAATACGTTCTAATTAGATTGTTTTCAATTTTAAAAGCGCTGAATGGTTATTTCTTTTTTATTTATTTCTGTAATAATGGCTTATTCACAAATGATTTTGAACATTTACCCTACTTCAAATGTTTTGCGTGGTATTGTTATGATATCAAAATTTTGGTATAAAATATACAATTTAACCATCATTTTGCAGTCATAGACAGGGTAAGCTATGCTTTTAAAATTGGCTTTCAGTACTTCTTCTGGGCATCGTCTTGTACATTTTGGGAAATTTGAAGATGTAAAGCAGTTTGTAAACGACACTTCCTGAATATACACTCAAAATAAACATTGTAATTTTTCTGCAATGTTGAGGTATAGGAAGAATATTTCATGGGACAAGGATTCGTTCAAAAAATTTATCACATAATTTAATTTTTTCTTCTAGGCCAAATACTGATGTTTCATCATCAAGTAAAAGAACGTCATCAGAAAAACAAATAAAAACGACAAAGAAAAGAAAACATGAACAATCTGGACAAATTGAAACTGATAGAAATTTGACTATGAAAAGAAAACTGTCATCTGCTGATGAACTGAAACAAAATAAACACAAAATACGAGATGAAGATAAGGACGATTCCCCTATTCCACGAAACAGGCGACGAAGTGTACTGCCACCAAAATCTGAGAATGAAACAGACGCCATCAGAAGAAATAAGAGAAAAAACTCTGCCAATGAAAGTAGAAAAATACATTCGAAAAAACAAACAACCCCATCTAGTGATGAAACATCTTCATCTGATGATGATGAAAATTCCTCGAGTGATGCAGCTGATTCTGACGTACAGGAAGAAGAAGTATTTGCCGTGGATGACGTTGTTCTTCCTGATTTCGATGATGTATTAGGTCTGTTGAACACTTTATTTATGATTTTTGTGATATTTGAAAAATGTGGAAATGTTATCGGTATTTCAAATTATAGAATGTTAGGTCTTATAATTTATGTCTCCATGTATGAAGCTGGTTTAAATTTAATAGGGGAGTGCTCGTTTTCTGCAAATAAGTTAGTCATGATCGCCGAATAGTCTTATTGGTTTTCTTCTATGCTATTATTTATTACGGTAGGCCTGCAGTGGGACTTCGCATCACTGAGTTAATGCTTTTACTTACTAATCATAGTTTTTACTGTATATACACACTTCAGCAGAAATTGCTCATATGCAATATTTGGTCATTTTGCGTCTATTTCTAGTGGTCAGTACATAATGCAAAAGTCATTGTTTTGTAATGGCTGTTTTACTATTGTGTAATTTACTGCGATTTTAGAATGGGTGTCTAAAACAAACAGTTGAAATCAGTGATATTCCATATCGTAAACTCGTTGCCACATAAAATAGATTTTCACGTAATATCTGACACAATAAAAATAGGAAATCATTCGAAAAATGTTTATCTCAACTATTCTGCATTACTAAATTTAATTTCTACTTATTTAAAATGCTTTAATAAAATGTTTCATTCTAACACAAGGCAATTTAAAATATATATACGATTATCCATGTTCGAAAACATTATTTCGGAGTAGTAAAGCATTCAATTTTTGCCTTTCCCTACTGTAGAATATTAATAATATTACCAGTCAAGATCAACTTTTTTTTAAGAAATGGACATCCACAAATATATCTTTTCATGTACTAACATTCTCAATAACTTTATTATGTGAATAATTATGATAGTTTGGCTGTTCGAATTTTCAATTGTATAGTTTTTTGTACCTCCAAGTAAAATTTTTTGGTTTAAAAATTTTTTATGATTTAACTTTCAAAAAAATTTGTTTATCAAGTAATGAAATAAATAAGGTCGTTAACAATCTATGATGAAAAAGAATAATTTTTTTTAACAGTGGTTTTGTATGAATATCATTTTTGTACCTGTAAAAAGAATTGTTAATTTATAGACTTGTATGTACTAATAGTATGGTATCAATATCCACAACCCTCTTATTTGTACGTTCAAAAATTGACACCAAAAATTGTTATTGTATCATACTCATTAAAATAATTCATTTGCATCAATCTTTTATAGTTATTAAAATTGTTACAATCAAAATAAAACCTAATTCTTTATATAGTTTTGCACTATTTCCGTTGTATCAATATTTTTGCCAAATTTATTTCAAATACCATATTCGTGTTCTATTTCTTAATCTGCAATATTTGTAAGTAGTGTTGCTTGTTATTTCAATAGTATTTTTAACATTATTACACATCCTTCTATCATTGCTAGAAAAATGTTAATGGCCTTTTTTGACTATACCTATGCATTCAATTTAAAATTATGCAATCATTTTATACCTATTTATGCTGTATTTTTTTGCAATATATTTCACTGTGCTGAAATTCCTGGTGACATACTATTATGCATCAACATGTAATTATCTAAATGCTGATTCTTCGATACTCCCGTAGTATGTGTACCAGGTTAGGGTTAGGCCATAAATTTGTTCCAATTTTTCCTATTTTAGTTCTATTACTAGTTGGAGACTGTCTGTGTTAGCCAAGTGGATATACCCCCTGCCCACAGGCTTCCGTCCCTTTACACAACTTGATGTGAAGTAGGCGAACAAAATTAGTTACCTCCATATTGGTACACATATTTCAGGAGCACCGATTCTTCTATACAATATATTTTATGAGTAATATTATTTCACCAGGCATTTATTTCTCACGCTATTCTGTTGTTTTTTGTCCATTTTTTGTCTCTTTTTTGATCTTTTATTTCTCTCGTTTGAACTTGGTTGGGTTTATATAGGAAACTTCGATGATGATGAAAGCAACGATGGTGAGTACATCTCCAGCAACCGAAAATCAAGGAAACTTTCCCAAACTAAGTCGAAGAAAACGAAAAGTACGTATGAGTTTAAAAGCAGTAAGATATTACAGCTTTGTAATATTTTCATGGAAAATCTTCAAATATCTATAGCTTCTGTACAAGCTGCTTGAACATTCTAGAAAAGTGGTCTTCAACCTTTTCTCTCGTGGCTCACAATAATTCTGTGGCCCCTCAACTTTCTCAGGCGAGGGAAAAACTACAAGAAAAACAAGAAAATTGTTCCCACAAAAATAAACACTTTCACTTTATAATTAAAATAAAAATACCACTTAGTAGGAAGAAACAGCATCATTATCCAACACTACCACAATGAATTTTTGATGTGCTTGTGTCCCACCTGAAAATATTTCTGTGAGCCGTGGCCCACTAGTTAAGAACCGGTATGCTAGAATATATATTTGTTCACAACTTTTGCTCCAAACAAAACCACTGATAATCAAAATAGTAAAGAGTTCCTATTATTGGAAGCCTCTGAATCCCGCTAGTTCAGCATAGCCTACCCTTGGGTGAGGTGGTTACCCTTGTAACCAACAGCTATTTTTTGTTAACTGCTATCTTGCAGGCAGTGAAAAAAGTTTTTCTTATTACTGCTTATTAATAAACTAAGGTGTTTGTAGATTCCCTTGCTTGCAAATTACCTGAACAATCTCAATTTTCTTCTCCACAAGTCTAAACAACGTTTTGGTCGTAAAACTTTGGTTCACCTTAAATCATGAACGAATTGTAAAAACTCTGTGTACATTTTAAAATTTTTCAATGCAGGAGCTGAGAAATCTTCTGATGTTAACCGTTTACCAGACAGCAGACGAATTGTTCCAAAATCTTCTCCAAAACCTGAATCTGAAGACGAAAAAGTATGCTTTCTTTTGTCTGATCCTTTTAGTAACGTTTGTCACTTAATGATGGTTTTTAAATCTAACTTTTATTGCTTTTTTACTGGAGGTCTCACTGAAAGACATTGTAGTCAAAATTTCTTTTTGTCCAAATCAGAGTCTGAATATTGTCAATTTTGATTGGAGAATCTGAATCATAATCTAGAAGAGTTTAATATGCTTTAGAGCAGAGATTTTCAATCTTCTCAGTGGAACGACACCCCAATGAAACATTCCTCAAGGCAATCCAGTTCAATAGTTCAATTGTCTGGATTGTATCAACTATAAGTATATATTTAGAGCAAACCCAATGCAGGCAAAACAAAATGCTATTTAAAGTATAACAAGTTTGATATTAGTGCCAAACCCTAGTAAGTATTTGACTATATTAAACAATATACATAATAATATAGAGACTCCCCGATTTAGAGGTCAACTTGCGAACCCCTATACCAGGCCCAACCCTATACCCCTCATTCACGAAACAATCAACGCGGACCCACACACACACTCATTTTCCTCTGGTAGTAATAAAGGATATTGAAAACAGCAACACACAAAAACTCGACTGCCTTCCAAGTACCCCTGGAAATCTTCTCGTGTACCCCTGGTGGTTTGTGAACCCCAGCCCTAGACTGTACTGGCCGAACCTAGCGTTCCACGGAGCCATGGTTTTAAACCTCTGCTTCAGAGTCAAATACAACTATTCTCAAACTGTGCAGTCTTCAAAAAGACCACTGAGATTTCCTGTACTTTTGACTATCATTTGGTCTTATAAATAATTTCTGCTTTGTAGGTGAAGCCACAGAAACCAAGAAAGTCTGTCCACGAAAGACTGGGTCGTATAACTAAAGTACCAGAAACGAAGAAAAGGATTATACACAATGAAAGATTACAAAAACCTGTACGTAAGACATCTCCTAAATGGGAAAGCGAGAGTTCTTCATCTTCTGAGTCCTCTGGAGAATCATCAGAATCTGAAACTGGTGAAGACTCTTACGATTTTGATTCCGATGCTCCGCGATCTAAAAAACCAATCCTTCCTTCTTCTTATATAAGAGTCGCTCCAAAAATGAAAAAAGTTTATCCCGGTGAGGAAATATATGACAGGTCTTCTAGAAAAGATATAAATGAAGAAAAAAAGGAACGGGACATGAAACATCGAAAAAGGAAAATTCTTGTTTCTGGTCGCAAAGACACAACATCCGCCAAATACGTAATTCAAGAAAGAAAGGCCGATCACCAAGCAAAGCGATATAGTGTAAAAGACCGTATTGGAAAACATACTTCAGACGGTAATATTGATAAACAACAAATGCAAATTGAAAGCAGAAGAGTGCTGTCTAAAAAGTCTAAGCAGGATCCTAAAGACAGTATAACAAAATCGGAAAAACGAAGAAAGCGTGATACGAATGTTGAAAGAGACGATCGGCCCCCAAAACCTGGAAAAAAGGAAGACTTTCTAGAAGCCAAGATAAAAAAGATAAAAGAAAAAAACAGCCGCATCATGAGGCGACAAAAGGAGATTGAGATGGAGAAGCAAAAGTTTGGATTCTGATGTCCTTATACGTTTTATTTTTTTTTGTTTTTGCACTATCACTGGATTTCGTTTTTACTGTTTATGTCCCTGCAGAATCACATTGAATATTTCAGATAAATTCTTTTTGTCCAACCTTGTCTGTTGGTATTTCGCTGTGAAAATGCGTCTTATAGGATCACTGGAAATTTGGTAAATACTGGATTGGTCGCCTTGTCTATTTTATGAATTTTATTTTCGTCTGGACACGCCAGTACTGCCGGCGAGTTATGTCCGCGTGATTATCCCTATCCCACTTTACTGCGAAATGCGGTTATAGCGATCCTGGTATCAACATTTTTTTCGGATGAGAGTAAGTAGTTTAGCCACCGTATAAGTAGAAATTGTGATGTATCAATGCCACATGTCTGTATTGCCTCTAGTTGAGACCTGAACCAGTCACAGATTGTGCACCCATTCCTCGCTATTGAAATTTTCGCAAGACCAAAAAATAAAAGCTAATAACGCGTGCGATGTTCCCATGGTTCGCTCTTGTTGAAATCGCTTTCGTCAACGTGACGTAGGTATTTAGGCCGTAAACATTGGTCACATGTCGATGAGCTACGGCATATTCCCGCAACCGTCTGCACAGGTACGCCCCGCGTCACGAGGTCGTCGAGAATTAACTTTTTAATCGTAATCGTCAGCGCCGGGAATTGTTTCATTTCAATACTTCTGCATTAAAGGACCACATGGAATATATGAACAAGGTGATCAAACTTGAGTAAAATTTTAGGGCCACTGGCCAAGAAGCTCCACGAAAAATCAATAGAAAAACAAAATTTTATTCGGTTTACTGTTCACTTCCCTAGCAACCAAACATTTGCAAATGACCCAGTAGTTTAAAGAGAACAGCGAAAAAACAATCCAATGGTTCACTTTGTGTCCTACGGTCTTCTATTTTGAATTTGAAGAATCAGAACTTACTGATAAGTCTGCTGAAAACGCGCCTGCATCTTAATTTGCATTTTTCATGATCACGGCTTTTCCAAGATGTGAAAGGCCTCGTATAAAGTAGGATATTTTATATATATATAATTGGACACGAAAAGTACATATCGATCGCTTTCTTATCTTTGATCACCATAGTGTTGAGAAATGAAATCTTCTTGTCGAACACGAAGAGGACCTATGAATCGTTTTATTAAAGAGTTGTTGTTGTTAGTATTTTTTTGTGGTTGTTATTGTTCTGACGAATCGCTTTTCTCATTTACTACTGAAACAATGGCTTTGACATTTTCAGTGGTTGAAGATCGTTGTTGTCGTCAGAAAGCTATTATTTTTATTTTTCACTTTGAAATGTTGTAGGATGACGTAATCAAAATTGAGAATGGCACAACATTTTTGCGAAGTCGGGAGTTTTTTCTATTAAAAAGGAAGATTACTGGTACTGTAATATAGTGGGCAAATGATTAAGCTTTGGAAGACTGATTCATAGTTCATTTAAATTTAGTAGTTTATCCAGAAGTTTTTGCCTCAATAGCTACGGAACATTTACACGAACTTTAGCCTGTGTTTACGTCCTTGAAATTAGGTCAGTTAGAAAGTGGGTAATTGACTTGTTATGGCATCGATGTACAATAATGGGGATTCAATCGAAATTAGCCGTTCTAAGGTTTCAATGAATAGGAGTTAAGAACTGGAACGATGCTATTTCACCGGCAATTTCAAAGGGTTGTTTTCTAACGATATTCTCTTGGAATATTTTGTCGCCGTTGGCTTGAATTTATGACTGTCGGCTTTAATATATAGTGTGGCTTGAGGAACGCGGAAATTCATTTTGTCATCAACGCATTACTTAGATTGAGCCTGCATTGTAATAGGAAGCAGTACATTTAAATTTTTAAATTTAGTATTAGTACCTTTTCATATTTTTTGTTCCTCGGTACAAATTTAATTTAAATCAAATGCAACGTTTCAACTTGTATTGTTCCACGTCACGACTTACGTCAATGACAGTCAATTCATCCACTGCTATCGCATTGAATAGAGCAATATCCAAATTATGCGTATAGAAACAAATAAGCTAAACTGTATGTACAAGGAACTCAATTTTGCTGAACCAGTTCTACGGTATATAGCGAGTGGATCAGATAGCAGCATATCATTCAGAAGATGGATAGTTACATAACGAAACATTGACTTTTTGATAATAGATGAAAACTATGCAAAAGTCAACAAATACGCCATTGTTGTTTGGTGTCATACTAGTGAGCTGCTATCCGCTTTATGTATTCACTGTGATTTTGGTCGTAACTATAGGAATTAAAGTTATATATATACCGAAATTATGATTCGAGGGCTGATTATATTCCAAGTCACACGACATTTAGCTATATCTGAAAGCATTTCACCCTTTCCGTTTTGACGTAATTCACTGCACCGTTTTAACTGTAGAAATTAGGAAGTTGTACGTCAGCGAGTACCGAATGAGAACATTTGTTTATGGCTCGCTGATTGAGCAGTTACTAGCAAAACCATGCGAAATTTTTAGTTTGGTACTGCTCAGGTTAGTGAACCGTTTCGAAATTATGAGATAGATTTCGGTTTAAAATGCCAAATACGTAATGAAATATTTTGGCTCGGTCACTTTATATTGATTGGGCGCTTGGTTCGTTTTAACATGTACAGGCAATTTATTAACTCATGCCAGTCGAGGTATTCGTCATGGAGACATTACAGCATCAAAATAAAATTACATGATGGAAGGGAAGTTACACTGATTAGTAGTTAGTTGTGTGTACCACACACGCGGACGCCAATGACATTAAAAGGGTAATTACCGCATGGCGAAAGTTCACAAGTATGACTGACAAATTGAGCGTTCTTCTGTATGTCAGTGTACTATTCTGTATTGGATAGAATAGTATTAGACAGCTCGAAAAGTTCCAATTTTAGGTATGGTATAACAGCGTTCTCATGTGCGAAGTTCGGAAGCTGTAAAAGCCCCAAAATCGATGAATATTTTAATCATACGACGAATCATCCATGTCTTAACTATTACATAACTTTGGGTCCAAAAATATGGCAAGCGTTTCAAATGTTAGATAGAAAGCAGGTTATAACAAGCTATTTGTTAGGCGTGTGGTTTTGAGAACGTCATACCTCATCATCAAATCGAACACCTTATTTACTGCTAATTTTAGTGACTATAACTGATAAGGCAGGGTTAAAAAAAGTTATGGTTATATATTTAGTTAGGTAGGACAAAAAAAGAATTAAAAGTGTTGAGATGTGATGTGTGGCGTTTGCCATGATTGACCGACGAAGACAAACGTTTTTTGTCATTGATAGATACCATAATATATCTGAATTTACCATTATTAATGTAATAGCGATAATTTTCTCCTTTGTTGCAGTCTGTCCGGAATGATAATATAACATATGCGTTGAAAAATAACCTTTAACAAATGTTATTCTTAATTCCAATTGATAATATTAATTAAACTTTAGCACGATGAACTAATTAAATATTTTTCAAATAGATTAAAATATGTGCAAATGACAATATGAATTTACAAAGTTTCTTGCTGCTGGTGTGGACTCTTACAGTGATCTGTGGAGGTAAATTTTTGGATTAATTGATTTCTATAATGTAGGAGCATTTACAACACTTTCATTGAAAGTTCAGTTTTCGATGAAGGTAAGGGACTGTATGGGACTGTGTAGAGTTGTGATGGTGTGCCTGCTTACGGGATAGATGAAGCAATCACATTTGGGATTTGGCGTATATTGCACAGAATTGCAGTTGATTTATGCTCAGGCATAATCAACAATGGCTAAAAGCACCAGCACCCACGGTTACTCGAGAGATTTTTTCATTATCAAATCATTATCTCTCAACACTTACCTTCAAAGATTCCGCTCGTGTTTAAAAAACAATTTTATATTTGCAGAAAGCAGTAAAATCGGAATGACAAATTCTGACGATATCAAACGTTTATGCAAGGATATTGAAAACGTGCAGAACAATATGGGTAAGATGTTATTTTTGGAGATCAAAAGTATACTAGAGAGTTGAGAATTTATTATGTGCCAGAGCAAAAATGTGTTCGCCATAACATGGATTCTTTATGATAAGTAAAATCGTATTTAGATTTTTTTAAATAATTTGTGGCAGCATGAACGCGTCAAGCATAGTCTTGGATGGATTGCATCGCAGTCGAAGATCCATTTTGGTGTAATTGATGATAAATCCCTCATTGCGGAGTTTAATAACTTGATTTTCTGTGTTGTATAACATAGTGTATATGCTGTCATGATACAATATAATCAGTAGTGGGATTCAGCCGGTTCGCACTGGTTCTATAGAATCGTCTCACGGAATTTTATTAGATCAGCGAACCGGTTGGCATTACTGAAAAAACATGATTTTTTGCAACAGAACCGGCTGAAAAATATGACATTTGTGTGATGGAACCGGCTGCCAAAAATTTTGAATTCCACCACTGAATATAATCATTAGGTAAATATTAAATGAAGAACGCCATTGTTTATCATTGCAAACAGGAAAGAAATTTTTTGGACAAGATGGGGACCGTAGGTTTGGTGATTTAACCGCATGTCCTGATAAACGAATTGCAACGATTACAAACGACTACGAGGCATGTTTAGTTACAAACGTTGCTGCTGAACATGGTGCTACAGTTGCGTGGGCAAGTGAGTGTAAATTCTGATAAAAAAATAGTTTTAAACTGCTTGGAACAATTGGAGATTACTAATCCTTCCATAGGCGTATTTCCCCAATATGCGTTTATAATTAGTTTGGGAAAATAGATATTTACGCAAAAAATCTCGAGTCGTAATAAGTGTCTTCTAGTCACGTTTTTCTGCGTATTGTTTTTCGTCTTTAACTGTGATAGATCTCTCGATAATTTCAATGCAAACTTATACGATACCATGGCATTCCAAATTACGTCAATGGTTTTAAACAAGCCCAAGTCTTGGCGAATGACACAGTTAACTTTGTTAGCCATGACTTCAATCAAATCAATTACGTCATGGTGCCGAAATGCGTTTAATTTGTTTACACTTTTTTTTCGTAGCATAAAAAATTGTTGGACAATGTTTTTTTTTTCATATATCATTCTGACGCGTATAGAATGATTTTTAAAAATTAGGAAATTGGGAAATTGAGCCAAAATCACTTAGACAGTACTTGGGAAATTTCGTATTTCTAATTATAGTTGGCATTTAATATATTAGACAGTAAATTTTTATATTTCTACGAATATTATTTCACCACACTGCATTGCGCCTGACCAACCGCCATCTTTGCGAAAAAATCGGTACTCATTGCTAAGCTACGGACCTATTTTTAGGTTCTAGTAAATTTCGCCGTATGGAATCTCGCTGCAGGAAATTTTATTGCATAGAAAAAATCGCCGCATTGTAATAATGTTGTTTAATCTATCTATTTATAACGCTACACAACACGTATTATGCCTCTGAATTTTGAGAAAAATTTTTTTGTCATTACCATTTGTCTTTCAAATTCAAAACTGAAACCTTCAGTAAGTATGTTACGCATGTATACAACCAGCGCTTACCTCACTAAATTTTTATCTTGGCTTCATTGTTTTTCTACCATACGAATTAGAATGCGGCTGTGCATTGATTCAATTACACTATACATATAATGACACTCAACAAATGTTTCAAGTTCAACATTTTTCAAGTTATCTAATAGAAAAATCGTCACAAGAGCATTTTGCTGTAAAACAAGTATTTGTGATAAAAACCTTTAGATTTTAAAATATTGTTTTATTTAAAAAAGATTTGATGTTCAGGAGCATAACCCAACCCTCCAAACCAAACTGTTTTTATCACAAATACTTGTTTCACAGTAAAATGCTCTTTCGGCGATTTTTCATGTGGCGAATTTTTTCTATGGTGCGAAATTTACTGCGGCATGATTTCCTGTGGCGAGATTTCCTTTGGCGAAATTTCCAGTGGCGAACTTTCCGGACACGCTATTTTTATTACACAAATATTTCGAAAATTTTGCCATAGAGTTGATAACCTCGTTTTATATTTCAACAGATATTCAGAAGCCAAATAACACAAACATAACAAGCCTTGATGGGACACTTTATGGCATTACATTGAATATTTCGCATGGAAATGTCGACACTTGCATTGCCATGGAACTTGAAGTGATAAACGTTACCATCAAGGGAAACTGGTCGTTCGTTGCTGAGGATTGTAAAAAACTTCTCCCAACAATTTGTGAAAATAGTAGTGAGATAAATCTAATAATATCTAAGTAATTCTTTTACAAAATAGGCAGATAAACTAAGAATAACCAAGTCACAGGGTTCCCTTTATTATTTTACCCAAGATCATGACGCAGCGCAACCCTATTATACCTGATACTCCCGAAGTATGTTAACCAAGATAGCGGACTAAATAGTGCATGCTTGCCACCAGGTAAAATCATGTTGATAATAAATGAAGCACAACCGGTGTTAGCAAAACGATGTAATTTACCATCGTTAGGCCATAATTTTATTCCAATTTTCCTTGTTTTAGTTCTATTACGAGTTCGGGGACTAGCCAAGTATTTGTACCTAAAATTATGGCCTAACCCTAACCTGGTACACATACTACGTTCCGGTGTCCGCCATCTTGGTTCACATACTTCGGGAGTACCAAAAAAAGTTCATTAAAAGTTTTGCGTGCAAAATCAAATCCGTTTAAAAATCAAGGTTTTCTCCGAAGACTGGACAATGGATATTGGTATCAAATATTTATTACGAAAAGTATTTAATAATAAAAAATACTTTATCCAGATTTAGAATCAGCATATTTCAATAAATTACTTTTTTTTTGGAGTTCAAATATTTATTTATTAGTTTAGTATAATTTTTTATTTCCTCAGTATTCTTTTCAACCAGGTCACAGTTACTGAATTTATTATCAGTTTGTCAGTACAATATAGGGCGCTCCTGAAGTATGTCCACCAAGATGGCGCACAACCTGAACCTGGTACACATGCTATGTTCAGGTTGTGCGCCATTTGATGCACATACTTCCGGAGCTCCCAATTCAGTACTTTTCAATATTTTGTTGTAATGAATCAATTTCAACGTATTCGAAATCACAATCCAATAAAAGATCTTTTCAAAACCATTTTCCGTCGGTTTTTGATTTAGACTATACTCCTAATTCCTGGCATTTCGTTTATTTATTTCAGGTGTAAATTCTACTCCGCCGAATATTGGTGCCACGAACAACATTTTTGCAGGTAATATAATAAATTGTTTAGAATACGACAGACTCTGTGTTAAATATAATGAAACGTCATTTTTATCAGGCTATTTATAATAGAAATCTCATTTGTTTTTGCGTTGTTGCCATTTATTCTCCAGATTCTCACCTTCTTGATGCATTGTATTTATTTATGTACATGCACAAAAAGATTTGACCTAAAAAAATCGTATCTTTTCCCTTTTATAATAATTGCAGAGTAACCTTAAATTACAATCCAGCTGTTTCTTAGGCCTCCACAAAATCGGCAGTTATAATTTGACGATTTTTATCACCAAATATGACTGAAAACAATAGTCCGTCAATCTAAACATGTAAATCTGTAAACTAATCGAATTCATCATTGTTTTCTAGTCATTTCCTATTTTAATGTTTTTTATATGTTGTAATGTAAACCAAGAAAGACCAGTTAAATACAACCACTCGATAAAATTAAATTACTGCAACAAATACTTACTCTAACTTCAATAACTGCCAAACCATGAAAGTCATGTAGTATTTTCGTTGTTTTTAGGATTGTACAGAAATATAAAACTCGAACCACGTGAGTACTCAGTGTCATTTAATGTTTTTATATTTAGCAAAATTTCGAGTTTGCGGATTCGCTTTTCTAAATATGGAATAATATGATGAATAATTAAATCTAATATCATATATTCTAAATAATAAAAGGGCTTATCGGGCGCCTGAAATACAGATATATATTGTTGATTGTTGTGCGTAGATTACGTTGAAAATAGTTCTCATAGTTTCGATATTTCAGCACTCTTGTAATATCGGTGTATGGTCGTGCTTACTGAATATCTTAATTAATATGCAATATAAAAATTTAATGTTATTGTTCAAAAGTGGGAATGGTCGATAAAAATATGATTTTCTACAATGTTTTGTAATGATACTTTAAACTAGACATCTATGATCATCGATCGAGTCGGGCAATATCAACGCATTTGTCACTTTCCTGCTGGTCATATAGGGCTAGGAATTTCGAATCGAATAGTGAATTATTTGAAACGGTTCAGACAAAAATTTCGAAGTGCCCCCATCTTGTCATTTTTTTTATCCGCCAAAGGTTGGGGTTAATTACTCGAATTCTTTATATTGAAGCCATACTTTTACAATGAAGTTCTGACATAAAATTCTTTTTATTGAGTTATTGATGAAACATTTCTTATTGTGTGTGGCAACTCAGCGAACTGTCTGATCGATTGAATCCATGTTCTCAGTAATTTATGTATCTTTACGACCCATTACAATAAAAAAAGTCGCATACAATTACGTCGTTGTATTAAATTGAATATCTTCCAAGGATACGGTTCGATTAGTAGAGAAATTCGATTCGATTCTGAAATCATCAGTTTTGCAGTCATAGGAAAACGCAGCAAGCTCAAAACTTTGTCTATAGAACACGTGTGCAAGAGTACAAGTGGACTATAGCAGCAAAACGTGATTAAAAATGCATTCTAATAGTGTAGTATGTAACTGTTGTTAAAAAAGTGATCCAGAAGTATATGTACAAATATGGTGGTAACTAAATTTTGTTCGCTTGTTTTACATCAAGTTGTGTAAAGGGACTGAAACCTATGGACAGGGGGATATTCACTTGGCTAACACAGACAGTCCACGAACTCGTAATAGAACTAAAATATTCTCAGTTCAACCAGACCGCTCAAGGAAAATCGGAATAAAATTATGGCCTAACCCTAACATATACTACAGGAGTAGCGTAAAAAGTTTGTCTAGTCGAGAATTCAACGTGTCATTGTTCTATGGATAACAATGAACATTTCAAATTTGTTCAATATAAAATATAAAAAAGTGAAAAAAAAATTCACAACTAAGACGTGAATGGAAGTTTTTCCAAACACCGATTTGGCTAATCATTTTAGGCGGAATATAAAATTTTACAACGGTAGAGTATAGAAATTTTTCTGAGGTCAATCATCGGGGAAACATCCTTTTAAAAAATTGATTATCGCATGACGTAATTGGTTGGCATATTCAATCAGAAGGTCATTTTTATATAGTCACGCACAGTTAGTGGTTTCTGGGTTCATTTCAGAGATAATTAAACTAAAAATGGACGATATTCATAAATTATATTGAGCTGCATTTCCAGATAAAACAGTTCCGGGCGATTTGATTGATATGACCAATCCAACGACCTTAATCGCACTTAGGTCTCAGCGCTCTACACACAATACAGAAAATACTGAACCAACTCCATCCAGTCCATTTCGGTCTGTCGCTGTTACCACAGAAAAATCATTTCCGGACGATGGTAAAATACCATAAAATACCATGTGAAGCTGCATGCTTAAAGGCACATTTGTGATATTTGTGATGCATGTGGTATCACATATGTTTTCAGTCACTGTCAACAGTGAACGGTAGTTTTTGATTCCATTTTACAGTCTGATATTGCATAGTTTGCATACAGACTTGCCTTTACGGGCGTGAAATAAGCTTTCGAAATAGCTCACGTTTTCATTTCACGACACTTCCTGCACTGTAAGCCTATTTGTGAGCCTGGTGACATAGTATTATCAACTTGATGATATGTGCTTTGAATACATTTGCATTGTAGTTTTAATATTATTGACTGTGATGCGTTAATCAGCATGTACACTTGCATCTGTCACACTATCTTTTCACATTATTGTTTTTAATACTCTTCACCGCATTACCTCGAAATAGTCTTAATGAAACTATCCCGGAAACACAATTTTCTCGAACAGGTATTGTTTATTCGGTACTCCTGTGGTATGTGGACCAAGATTGAGGACACCGGAACGTAGTATGTGAATCCGGTTGGGGTTAGGCCAAAATTTCAGATAAAAATACTACGGAAGTCACTTGGATAGTCCCCGAACTCGTAATAGAACTAAAATAACGAAAATTGGAATAAAATTATTGCCTAACCCAAACCTGGTACGCATACTTCGTTACGGTGTCCGTCATCTTGGTTCACATACTACGGGAGCGCCATTTAATTTTCATATCATTATGAAAATAGTAAATGGTCATGAGAATAGGGATATAAGATTGTCCCAATCGCCATATGAATGGCTTGCTCAGTAAAGGATTTTCATGTGGATAGTGGGTTTGTTTAATGTAACGTAGTTTCAACTGGAAATTCAGCACTTGCAACATGGTCTGGATCTCTATTTCAGTCGCACAGTCGTTGAAAATCAAACGACTGTGTATATGTTGACATGACAACAGCCGTGTTTGTCCAACTGCGACGTTTGAAATAGGGTTGCTGTTTTTTGCATTTTCTTACTTTATTAGGATATATATATAGGTTCAAATACAAAACATTTTTATTTGTTATAGATTTATGTCAGAACAATTATGAACAAAGATGCAATGGTTCCAAATCTTTATTGAAAATGGATGAATGTTTTGTACGTCACGCGGCAAACGAAAATACAAACTGCAATCGCACAACTGGTCGGGGAACATTTCAACACGTTAATATACACAACTCCAATGGTGTGCCGTTGATCGGCGTTCGTGAACTTTTAACCCTAGGAAAATTCAGCGTAGATCCCTCGGTATCATTTCCAACAGAACAACGTAATTTTAAACTGGCGAGCGCTGAACTAAATGGTGAAAGGGCAGAAAATCTAATACGTGAATCAGTTCTATTATACGACCAAAACAAGAAGCTATCTGTATTATCACAGCCAATCAATCGGATACTTCTTATTAATTTAATTGGAAATTCAGGAAAACCTATTAGTGCATCGAGAATATCATTTCGCTACAAATTGGAGGCAAATAAAACAATAGCAAAACTTGCCAGAAGGTTGACATTCGAGGATGGAGATGAATCCTTGTTGGCAAGCACAAGTCGCTTCCTTGGACTTCAACCGCAATGCGTTTTCATTGATTCCAATTCGAATTTCAACCGGAGTGGTTGCGATTGCATTCAAGAAGGGGACATAGCAAAATGTGTCAGTACTCATACTACAACTTTTGCAGTCATACTTGCTGTAGAAACAGTGGTCGTTCCACACGGAGTTAAGGTGTGTTCCCTTTCTTTTTTATTAGATAACTTGAGTAAATTGAAACAAATGTTGAGTGTTATTATATGTATAGTGTTATTGAATCAATGCACAGCCGCATTCTAATTCGTATGGTAGAAAAACAATAAAGACACGATAAAAATTTAGTGACGTAAGGGCGTGTTTACATGCGTAACATACTTACTGAAGGTTTCAGTTTTGAATTTGAAAGACAAATGGTAATGACAAAGAATTTTTTTCTTAAAATTCAGAGACATAATACGTGTTGTGTAGCGTTATAAATAGATAGATTAAGCAACGTCATTACAGAGAACTTTATTACATTAAAGTTATTTACTCAAGTACTCCCCAAACGGAATAACCTTGAAATTGCTACTAAATGTTGTGTATTTTTTATTTGTATATGTGAAATATATTTTGCGTCTATTGTACTATCTAAGCTACTTCCGAATACATAGTACGCGTCCATAAATATGACAATGATTGACATGAGTAAGCGATGACGATATTCGAGTTTCATAATGCTAATGCATTGTCGTCATTAACTGAACTTTATCTCAAACAGTGACGAGGACTGGTTATTTCCACTAGGAATCTTTACTGAAAATATTTGCTGGAACAAAAAAATTGTTAAAACCTAAATGGATGTTATTCAGATATTAATCATGATATCACATAACAATTTGCCTTTTTTTTTATTTTGGTGAATAGAAATTGTCATAGAAAAGGGTCGCTTCGAATATAAATAGTAAATTTGGTGAAACTATAAATGTGGAATCGATGGTTATTTCATCGAGCATCGACGTAGTTAATCGGCAAACAATTGAAAATTTAGCAGCCGACCAGGTCCTTTTTTTATTCAGACAGATTTTCACGCATTGCTTTAAAAGTTGGCTCGTTTTTGTGATTTTGTCTGATATTTATCAGTTTTTATTTGTGTTTCCGAAGTATGAATTGAAGAATTCAATGGTCATTTTGTCTTCCAAGTAGTTTAACTTTAGCTTAGTAACCAAAAATTAGTCCCGAAAAAACTACGATAGACTTGGCTAAAGTTAGTTATCAGTGCTTTTAAATGGCAGTTGATTAAATGTTTTGAATCAAATTGCTGACTATGAAACATGTAAACCAGTATGTAAGATCTAACTCGCAAAAACACTCAAAATAACCATCAAAAATTTTGCGACGCTCCAGAAGTGTGTGTGCCAATATGGAGGTAACTAATTATGTTCGCCTACATATTGATTCCTATATTTTCTTCTTTTAGGTTGCTTCAATAGCGATGCAGTCAATCTCTCTAGTATTTCTTGCAATTACATTCTATATTCTTGTAAGCGTGAGAAAGAAGGTCAGAGGAGAAAGAATTGCTATTCAAATCAATCTTGTTGTCTCATTGGCTCTCCTGCATTTCTGGATATTGATGAGTGACATAGCTCTACATTACCCAATCTTCTGTCGTGCTACTGCAGTGCTTATGCATTTCTTTTTGTTGTCGACAGGTAAATTTTTGATATACGCTCCACGTTAATATTTTACTTACTAATCGTAGTTTAAATATTCTTTCATATCCTAGGTAGCTCTCTTGGGTCAAAGTAACATTACGTCTAAGAAATATCTCAAATGATAAAGATCTAACACGCTTTAAAAGGGTATAGAGAATTACTTGTCCAACTTTTTTTCAAAACATTGCTCCCTTTTCCTATTTTGAATAATATTTTTTCTTTTCCACACTCCACTTTCCGTTATTTTCCAATCTTCAAAAATCCGCAACTCATGGAACAAGTAACTCGTACTCTGGCTTTTGATAGTTTCGATAGTTTATAATGTGCCGTTAAATATGTACAATAATACCATACTAGCTAAAGAATCATATTAAAACTATCTCGTATAGAAAATATTCAAGTATTTTCTCCCGAAAACAACAAAGTTTTTCCCTGGAGAAAGAGCTGGTATAGAGTATTCCTTCAAAATGTGACAGACATATCGTTGCTTAAAATTGAAGTACTTGATGTATTCTATTAATAGAAATATAACAAGTGAGCTGTACAAATTTTTTAGCCGAGTGGACAAAATAATTTTGAAATAATGGTTTTTTTATTTAACGCATTTATTTATCCTTTCATACTAATTCATCATTCAGTAATTATCAAACGAATAGTGAGAACTAGGGTTGCCACTTCTGGATACATTTTTTTTCGAATCGAATCTCGAATCAAAACTTTTCGAATCGAATCTTTCCGAATCTGATTCCATTAAGCTTTTTTTTTTTATTACATGCGTATGTTTGCCCAAAGTCACAAAAAAGCTCAAATCTAGAAGAAAAAAATTTGAAAATGGAATAGGCTATATAGCAAGGATGATAAGGGTTTTTCAGTGAATAAGCCACACTTATTTTCATCATGATAAAAAAGATGTAGGTCATAGATATCACTAATAAATGCATTGATGAAAAACTTGCTGTTGCAACTTATCTGTGAGTCTTACAATACTGAGTTATTGTGTTATACTTGTATCAGGGCTGAGGCAATTTGATGGAATTCATATGAGAAAATAAGCAGGGAACAGTTGTACTGTTATGTCGTAAACACAGTAACAGCACTGCTTTTCCTTGTCCCACACCAGTATATGTGACCGTGGTATTTCCCTTCTTGTTATATTGAATTAAGGCCGGCCTTATTACCGATTCTTTATCTTCAAAATCTTAGTACAATATTTTATATTTATGCTAGCAGCATAGAGTAATACGACAAAAACATTCTAATTGCATCTGAATTACTATAAATGGGAAATGCTTACAAGAATATGATTGAAGACGATAAAATTAACCACGATTAAATTAAATTCGATAAAAACAATCGTTCATCCGACTACGATTGCGAACAAAAATTTCCATAAATATTAGAGAAAGTATTATTTGTGGCTAACAGCGTTATTGGCTAACTCGGGCTTCATTATTAATGTGGACTACGTTTAATTTCGTAATTCAGAAAGTCCAAATGTGCATAATGGACGCCGCGCTGACGAGCGATAATTGGTTGACGCTTTATCTCGATCGGACATGGTCGCTGGGGCTAAAGTAAGACGACATTCGCACAGTATGCTCGGTCTGGTATGAAATCTGCCACGTGTTGATGTAAAACAGTGCACAAGTTGCCATTCCTCAAGTATTATTTACTCCCACCTGTCCGTTATGACATTTGCTCGAAATAATCCGAAATGTTTTATTCGCTTGTATCGCGCTAACAAAATTAAAAGTAAATACTACTTTTTTTTGTAACAGCTGAAAAAAGACGTGTATGTACTATTACATTATGTCCCCCTGATTTCGTTTACCGCCACTCGAGTGGAAGCCTGACAAACGCAAACAAAATAAATATATATTTTAGGATGAGAAACATGATTGTCAATTAACATTGCCGGCCGATGAACTCATTCAGTAATAGTTCTCTTCAAATGTACGCAAAATATTGCTCTCAGAACAAAGTTTATATTAAATTTCAATCAAAATTAAACATTATCTAGACGTCGGTGGCCGATTCTTCATCCAATCATGCCAGGGCGTACAATAACTTAGTCGCAGCGCAGGTGTGCTGTTGAAAATTTTCATCAAAATTGTCACAAATTTTCAGGTATACGATCCATTTAAATTCGCGCATAATGGAAACTTCGGCTATTTAGTGGAAAACTGAACTCGCAGTTTGCTGGTAATTACGCCACACATCATCTCGAGTGATGCGTAAAAGAGTGTGTTGTGTCGAACTTGAAACAAATGACGGCAGACAAGTAAAAAAGTCAATCACGAAAAATTCATTTTCATTTATTTACGTCCCGTAATTTGTTGCTATTTGGAGTGCTGCATAAACGCATTCGGTAGTTTTAACACCGCCGAAAACAACGATTAACACACGTTCAATGTTTTTTTTCGGCCCGTAATTTGGCGGTATTTGGAGTGCCGCATAAACACACTCTGGCAGATTTAAAGCCGCCGGAAACGACGATTTAACAAACGTTCAATGTTTGTTTTTTTTCGCTAAATCGCTCTCTTTTTCCGAATCGCGTAAATCTGATTCGAATCGATCCGGAAAAGATGCGATTCGAATCGATCCGATTCGTAAATCCAAAAGTGGCATCCCTAGTGAGAACTCATAGTCAGTATTTTCCTCATAAAGTATCTACAAATTTTGAATTCAAGTTTCGTTTGCTATTTTTGTGAACAACTACTTATAGGTTGAGTAAGTGATTGGTATAATTTATGGTCCCAATCGTCATTTGAATGGCCTCACCCGTAGAGGGTATATTAGGCGGCCATTTGACAGCTGGCTCCAATTTAGAGGCAGCTACACAAGATGTGCATTACCAATCAAGCACAATGTTCATAGAATAGTGTTTGGGAAAGGGAAAACCGATAAGACGCCTTAATCATATGGCGATCCACGGCCTCTCGACCGGTCCGTACCAGGTAACAGGTGAAAACTTGTTAATTAACGTGTTCAAGTGTATTCATTGGTGTAATTGTTTTCACACTCTACAGATTTTTTAATCACTTTCCATTAATGCGCTAAATTGCAACTCTCTTTTTAGCATTTTGGATGACAAATGAAGCAACTCTTCTATTCATCAAGACCACTGGATTAGCGTTCGTACGTGCAAAAAGACGAAAAATCGTAATAACGTCGATGATAATTAGCTGGGGGATGCCTGGAATAGTTTGTGCCATTGTCGCAGCGATTGGTTTTTCAAGTGGCATATATATGCAACTCAACGATCTGTATTCAAAAAGTGTGGGTTCGGACTCGAATACCATCCCCATATACGATTATTGCTGGTTAAGTGCGATGTCTGGTATTCGTTGGTCAGCGATAGTACCAGTGGCTATTCTGTTACTAATAAACTTCCTTATAGTAATACGAGTAGCGGTATTTGTTTATCGCAAGACGCTGGAAGCAAGGAATTTCAAGCCAATGGAACAAGGAAAAAATAAACACATACTTGATATTGATTACCTGAAATATCTTGGTGCGTCTCTGAAAGCAGCTGCGTTACTCATACCTTCGTTAGGAATTCCGTGGATGTTTTTGTTTGCTGCAAGTAAGTTATGCGTACAAGACATTTGATACGCAGTCAATGTATTTGTTCCTCATTGTTATCGATAAATTAACACAGAAATTCTCAAACTTTTCGAGTTCGCGATGTTCTAAATTGTTGTAATACTAAATTCGCATTGGGTGGAAAATGTAATCCTATAAACATTAAAACGACATTTTTCTTTTGTAATAATACACATTAGTTAGTACGACACGCGCGCTTGTTTGAGTGGACATTAAACTATCATAAGGCGACTGGATTCCGATATTGGCAGTCGTACTTCTCTCTTCGCGTTAATTTCATCAATTTCTACTATTAGTGGCAAATTATGAGCATTGATACCAATAAAAAAAGACAGTTGGAAAATAGTTTTTTGTTTATAAATGGATTGATATTTTATGACGAACTTATAATTATCTTGCACAATTCTGGAACCACCTCACCTATAATAATTTTAATTGTACATTAGTGGCAATAAAAAGCACAGTTTGATCAGCGATAAAGCTAGACGACTTGTGTTGTTAATCTTTGTTGATATCATAATATGTAATGGACTGTTTCTTAATTCGAACACAATCTTTTACCAAATTTATCTTCAATAGCTATTAATAGCTAAATTAATACGTATTCGTTTTCTTGTAATATAGATGCAAACGACCAAACAACGCAGCTTGTTTTTATGTACGTGAATGTCGTTCTCAACGGTTTGCAAGGTTTCTTTGTGTTCGTGGTTTACTGCATTGTGGGGAAAGAAGTGCGAGCAGCAACAGCAAAAAGCATTTCATTATCCTTCATTAATTCTTGGAATAATCCAAGCGAAACTTTCGAAAAATGGAGAAAAAGAAAATCTCATCAACCTACAGATGTCGCATCAACAGAAAAAAATACAGAAAACAAGGAAGATGTGGAATCACCTATGAAACAGCATTCGACATAATTAACATGAAACGCTAAAAATATGAAATACACGTTGGCGATGACTATTTTTTACTCCCTTCGTACTTTTTTATTTTTCAAATATCCTTATAATTGATATCCTTTTATTTAAAACGGCGGAATTGAATTTTTATGTTTACCTCTCAGAGAAAACTCGATAATATGACCTAATCATATAGCAAACAAAACTATATTTGTCGCTATACAAGTCCGGGGTATCGGAAGAGTTAACACTAGTAAATTGTGTCATAATATGTTAATTGTGTCTTCAGTAAAAAAGGAAACCCTTGCTGGCAAGTGGTTTTGTGAACAACCCTACGGCTGGACGTCATGCAATCCCTTGTATATTCGGATCCGAACCTTCGGGTGCACTATTTGACAGGCAGTATTCATTTTATAATTTTTGAGGTAAGATTCAGTTTACTGAAATGGATCCTCATAAACGCAGTCAAAATCTACTTTAAACCCCAAGAATAAATCGGTTCCATTACATTTGAACCCACGTACATTTGAACCCATGGCAATTGCACCTGTATGCTATTGCACCTATGAAATTTTTTTTGTTTTTCGGATAGTTAAACCCACACTAACCCTAACCCATGGGTTTTAGCACCCGCATATAGATTGAACCCGTGGATATACACATGGGTTCAAATGTACGGTCACCGAATAAATCATAATCCTCGAGCCTTAGTATTTTTGCATATCTTCAAGCGTGAATTTGTTGCCAGGTGTAACATGTTCAAAATTTTTTCATTTGATATTATTTTTCGTGTTCCTTAAACTTTTTCTTCACTCTTGAGATTACTTTTTACACATGTTAATTGAAGTATTATGATTGAATGGTATATAATTATATACTATACATAGGTTTCATACATCGCATTGTTAAATCGATAGGTAAAATCTATAGTGGGGTAGACGTAGGTCGTATTTTTTAATTCCTTGCACTTTCGACACAAATAGGCTATTATTTCACTCGCTAATTCGAATGCCTGGAATCGAAATCAAAACTGAGCGCAGCACATTAAGTTGTTGGTTGACACGCTGATTTATGCCATGACTACATATGGCTGTAACGAATTGGTGAATTAGCGTGGTTTAGTTTGTACAATTTTACTACAATAGAATAGGTTAAATTTTTTTTTATCATATTTGAGTGACATATCGTATCACGGGTATCGTATCTTAACGACGTTTAAATATACTCCTTCCAATACGTCGCTAATGTTATGAAGTTGTTTATTTGAAATAAAAGAATAAAACAAAAAACATTGTATATTTTATGGGATTTATTTCTACATCATTACACAAATTCAAATCCATGTTCACTTGACAACACATTCTCTTATGGCCTACTACTTTCCGCAGTGTATTACAATCACTTCTCCGGTTTTCATTGCTTGTTTCCCCGAAGAACCATTCCACCGAAAGAACCGCATGTCTTCTAATTCATCTACTTTTGCGCGACTGATTGAACGTTCGCAGGTAATATATCAACGTAGTATCTGTAGTATTTTATCGACGACCAGTCAATACCCATTCATAGTCAGCTTGATATCCGAGCCCTTCCAAGGTTTGAGCATGAATATGCATCACTCGAACAAGTTCAAATAAATCTTGTGGATTGAGAGAGACTCTTCGATGAATTACTTCAACAAATTCATACCATGTGCCTCGCCCTGCTCTTGCACTTGGATATCTAAGTTGGTTTCGAGCAAAGAGGTTGATAGTTTCTTCTGCTGTTGTGCCGTCTGGGTACGCATGCAAATAATAACACCTTGTCCCGTATCGACAGGTTCCTTTGCCTTGCTGAAATCTTCGACATGGTGTGAGTGACATTTCCTTTTTGTGCTTGATCATTAAAGCCTTCTTTTCTTCTGGATCAGTAACCCATTCTTCACTGGGCGTCACGAACGAAGACGCAGCCCGGCATGTGGGACATAATTTGACGACAGAACTTTCTAATGATCTAGTACATCTCCATTGTATTATACATTCAAAGCAAAACGCATGGACACAATTGTCAAGTAATCCGAACCTTCTTTTACTAAGATCTTCCTTCTCGCATACGACTTCCATACAAATTCCACAAACAATTTCATCGTCTTTACAACATTTGTCTTGAGAATCTTTGTTGGTTAATTGCTGGTCTGCACAAGATGATTGTTTCGAGTTCATATTGTGTTGTTGAGATAATCGTATTAAGACGGAATGGTTTGCTGCCACCAACAACTATATTTATGTATTAAAGCTTCAAAGCAGAATCGCAACATCTCGATGCGTTTTAGTGCTAATCGGAGCTGCGAAATTGATAATTCGTTGTTCGTGTAGAAAGTGTTACAAGGCTACAAATTGCGATAAAGTTTGATAACTTTATCATAGCGGGATACGGCGAGGGTGCGTAATAAACATTGACGGACAAATTGTCAGGTGATAAATTATATCTGTTATCAGTAGGTTGATATGAAGTATTTTCGTTCGTATAACAACATTCAACAAATAGAAGATTAATTTAATTTTATGTGTTTTTCTTATCTTATATGATGAATTTTCCTCACTGAAAACTCAAGTTTTGAACAATTAAAGTTAATTCTCTAGTTATTTTCATGTATTAGATAACACTCAAAATTGGGTTCAAAGTTCAACATCACTGACGATTTGTAGGCCACACAGAATCGTTGTCAAGTAAAACAAGAGAGATATGCTCAAATATATGAACACGTAGCGCCACACAATTTTGATGACGTCATAGCAAAAAATTAATTTAATAGCTTTCTGGCGGAAAATTCCATTTTTAAACACTGAAAATTTCAAAGCAATTGGTCCAGTAATCAAAGAGAAAAGCGATTTTTTTAAAACGTGTCAATGAACAAGAACAATAAAACGGTCGTTATGTCCACTACGTGTCCAATAATCATCTTCGCTATAATTGCGAGAATGCAATACCTCAATAGGAAATTCATTTTGAAAAATATTAATTTGACCTGGCCCAGTTCACAGTTTTTTAAAAGCTTTGTGAATCATTTTGGCAACGACCATGCGTAAAGAATTTGCTCACAAACTGTTAATGATTACATCCCTCGATTATTGACCTAAGCTTAATAGAATTTGTTTTGCACCCGTTGATTGTCGCGAACGGAGGAAGATGTTGGGTCGTGCATCATGGTAGGATGGTAAAGTGTGAAAACCGAAGTGTTTGTCAACACATGTCGTTTCTTTTAGTAAACTATAGCCACTTCATAGATCATGGTACTTTGAATCATTTCTCCAATCTTACCCTGCACAACATGCATTTGAGTGAGCGAGTCAAATTATTGAGCTGGTTATAGTTTTTAATAAAATTGGATGACGCTGTTGCATAGAAGATCAAGATTGTATCTGTGGGTTATCGATCTCCAATGTGAACTTTGGTGTCAAAAGTTACTAAAAGTGTTACTTTTCAAATTCATTATGTGCAAGATTTGTGCCATATTAAAACATTGCTTGTTTTGGTACTCCTGTAGTATGTGAACCAAGTTGGCGGACACCGGAACGTAGTATGTGTACCGGGTTATGCCATAATTTGAGGTACAAATACTACAGGAACAGGAGTCATTTGGCTAGTCCCCAAACTCGTAATAGGTCTAAAATACGGAAAATTGGAATAAAATTATTGCATAACCCTAACCTGGTACAGATACTACGTTCCGGTGTCCGCCATCTTGGTGCGCATATTACGGGACCCTTGTTTTAGGTGTTTGACATAATGCTTTTAAATTTTGATTTACACAACCCAATAATTTGATCACCTAACGGAATCATGTATGGTATGTTTCGCCTAAGCCCTAAACGATAAAACAATTTTCATGGCGTATTTTGGAAACAATTCGAAACAAAACTTTATTTGAACCTTCAAAGTATCAAGTCATTCATATCTCCTGCGATATCGTATTTAATTTTAAAGGTAAAAAATATAATTACATCTTAGATATTATTTTTATCATGTCTTTTTCTATTATTGGCCCGATATATGCTAACCCTATTCCGATTGCATATTATCGCAGTTCTAAAATCGCGCTTTCTCTGCATCTTGAATGAATTTAATCAAAATTAGCACAAGCTATTGTTCTTCTCGCGAATTATCGCAAGATTATCCCCCTTGGTCATTGTATTGTTATCTCGCTCTAGACAAATCTTTGCACAGCATGAGAAAGAAAAACGCTCTGCCATCGTTGATAAACTGCGACTTGTAACTTACAAATCCCAGACAATGTTCAACTATGATAACTAGAATAGGTCGTCTAACTTCTGGAATCGAGGAATAAAAGTATAAATGGACAGCATCGAATCACAAATAGTTTCTAGGAACCGGCAAAACATTGTCGAATCAGATAGACCTGGAAAGGAAGCTAAGCTGCAAAAAGCAAGCAGTACCGGTAGCGATTCATCAGCAGAACAAGAACAGCCAACCTGTGGAATATGCATGGAAAGCTTCGATAAAGACAGAGACAGTAATAATAAATACGGCCTGTTGGACAACTGCTCGCATATATTTTGCTTTGAATGCATAATAACGTGGCGATGTACAAAGTCGTTGGAGAGTCCAGTAACCAAAGCGTGTCCTGCTTGTCGTGCACCCTCTTATTTCGTCACACCTAGTAACAAATGGGTGACGGACCCTCGGGAAAAAAGAAAATTGATGTTGAAGCACAAATATGAAATGTCAAAAACACCATGCAGACGATTTCAACAAGGCAGGGGGAGCTGCAGATACGGAATTAAATGCTACTACCAACACGCATATCCCGCGTATACTCAAAACGAACAAACAAACCTAATTGAAACGTCAGGTCCAACGGCAGATGCCCTTGATAGCAACCAAATGTCTGATATCACTATTTGGTATGATCTCATCGAGTTGCTCGTCGGATACATGTCTGAGCTTGATGTACGAAGAGAAAATGTTAATGCTTTGTAGAGCACAAATCACCTTACAGACATCATTTCAAAATGTTCAGTTGATCGAAGCATTGACGATGATTTGTTAATAACTCTAATTCGACTCTTGATTTCTGAAGAATGGTTATTGATTGAATATGCATGTGATGTACTAATGTATTATATTTTATGCGACGTTTTTAAACAAATAATTGGCCAACACATTGTGTATATTGATCTATTTAATAAAACTAAAACGAAGGTTGGATCTAGTTTCCACTACAGCGACTACAGATTAATGAAAAAACAAACAAAGCCCTCACACCAAAATAAAAAACAATATTTATTTATTTATTTCAATGTCAAGTATGACTCCGCTTTTATCCAATAAGTCTGTCAATGTTCGGTGCGATGGACGATGCTGCAAATTAGTGATTGAAACAGATTAAAATACATGGCAGACAATAAAAATAAATCCAAACATCTCTCTACAGCAGGCCTGCACAACTCAAATTACCACGAGGGCCGCAAGCATAAATCTGAAGGCCCGGCGGGCCGCAAACTTTGCCACATACATATTTCACAAGATGAACTTCAAATCAAAATAATATTGTGAAACAGTTAAATTTGATGAAAAACTTTCATTACTGGAAAGCTTAAAAATATGAAGAATCTTATTTTCATGAGTATTTAGTGGTTCATCTACCTTGAAAGCGACCCTTCATTTTCACTATTTTTTTTTTAATAAAATTAGGTATTGCGTGTTGCAGTATAAACTGACTGCAGGAAAATATTTTACTCAGGTTCAGTTTTGCAAAATCGTCCCACATATAGGTATTCAGTCATATCTAACATTTTTAGATATTTTCATTGCAGGCTGGACAAACAATCCGTTTAGTAGCGATTGATCTTCCTCTGTTGTACTTTTTCGACTGTTAAATTACATTTTTCTACAAAATCTGCTCCAAAAATTTTTTGAAGTTTTACAGTAAATAGCAATATATTTTGTGCGACGATTTCTGCAGCATTCATGAATGAAAAATTTGTTTTTTAAGTTTTAAATTTGAAAAAGAAACTTCAGTTTCATAAACTGCTAGTAAAAAATAGTGGGGTTACTAATAGGTTGCTAATATGCACTAATGGGTGTGAGATTGTATACCGATATTGTTTTGAGCGTGATTCAGTTTGAATACGGAGATATCTAGATCAGGGTTTCCCAAACTGGGGGGCGAGAGGTCGAGCGACGAATTTTAAGGGTCGCGAAGGGCAGACCAATTTTACAATAAGTTCGATATTTATTGAAACTAGTGCAAAACATAAATCTCACGATTTCTAATATGATCGGAGTAGCGGCGCGCTTGCATAAATAACAATGTAACAAAAATAACAATAACAAAGATTTGTTTCCAAATGACCCGCGGGTCGCACAGAAGTATCTAGCGGGCCGCATGCGGCCCGCGGGCCGTATGTTGTGCAGGCCTGCTCTACAGCAATGACGCTCACAAAGGGATATAAATAAGCTTTCGATAGCTGGGTAGCGCTTCTCGCGCGTTTGAATGACGAGTAATGTTTTTTTTATTGGAGGTTTCAATATTGGCTTGCGAAAGACATTGAGATTCGAATAATACCGCGCGAGCCACTCGGAAACCTTCGGCGGGCCACTGGTTGGACGACCCTGCTATAGAAGGATCGGAAACAACATTTTAAGGTTTGAGAATTTATTCGCTTATATATGGATAGTAATTAATAAAAAAACCTTGAGGATATTTCCAAAAGTACTGATCACTCTACGTAGTACTATACGGCCAATTCCTGAAGCTAACCTGTAAAAAAACATATTTAGAAAAAGTCTGAGCTGAGTCTGCAAAAACGCAACCCCGCCGCTATCAAGTTTTCTCATGCCAAAACGATTGTTACTATGCATCATTGAAGGCAGTATCATTTAGCCAAATTTCAAACTTGTTCATTTGGGCAATGCGACGTTTTTAATGAATATCTTAATATAAATAAACAGCCGGATATTTATAGGTAATACCTCTACGGAAACCAATGAATTCATATTCCTAACGCAACACTATTACATAACTACAAATTTTACGTGCGATATGGATAAGTAAACATTGCTCATGCGATCCAACGCGTTAAAATCAAGAAAATTTTATCAATTGAATGACTTAACGTTGTACGCAATCAGCTATACACGATTTAGGTTTTATGAGTGTTGTTCGTGTTTAATTTGATACTAAATTTAAACAAAACTTTTTATTATTTTATCAGAAACGATTGTATGTACACATTAAATTTGCTATTATTAATTTTATTCCTTCGAGCTTGTAGGAAAAGCAAGGCATTTTTCAATAAATATATAATAGGAGTTCAGTGTTACGCGATAATTATTCACACTGAACCCGATTCAGTTGATTTGCTTGTAGACTTTCCCCAATATATATTAGAGACAAAGAGAAGAATGACAATAGTGAAAGACAAAGGGGAATCAGTTGGTAATACAACCAAGCAAACTTTGCAAATTAAATGTCGTCTGCAATTGAATAGAGCAGAAAAATACTCGCGATCTTTGATAATTCAAGGGCGAACAAGTTTCGAAAACGGTTGTGAAAAAAAATATACACAGTTCAAAAATCTTTCATAACACATTGTATCTTTCTGCAGAAATTTTTCAATCAGAATAAACTGTACGATAACAACTGCTCTCATATACATTGTCTACACTTTTTCCTACTCCCAAAAGTATCTGTTACTTTGTATCTCATTTAATAAAAGTTAGATTAACCCGGTACCCCAAGAAAATATTGCGAGTGCTCTAAGGCCTCTGCCGACTTGAAATCAAAAATGAGTTCTTGATAATAAAGTAAATACTTATTAATAAGGGAAATACCACTATTACATTTTAGGCCTTTACAGCAACTATGCTTTTAATTATCATACTTAGGATATTACTCTATCTTCTTTTTGTTTCAATTTCTGTCAGCGCAGGTATGTATCTTTAATTTAAAAACTGTAAATATTTAAATGAACATATTCCTTCTGCGGTTGACGCAAGCAAACATTATCAACCCCAAAGCATCATCATCATCCATGTTCCAAAATATAATAAAAATAGATATAGTGGAATAATGTTTATCGCTATCCAATATGTCGGGTTATTTCAAAAATTTTAGCTTAGGCAACTTTGTGTAGTAATTAATTATACGACCGGTACCAGGTTTGACAACAATTGTAAAGATCTATAATGTCGGAACAATGACTCCTATCGAATTTAAAAAGCAAGGATAGAAAGCATTCTCAAAATCAATTATGTGTTTATGTTTTATTTATCACTTATACCTGTTTTGCAGAAGAACGAGAATACGACATAAACAAATTTTTGGAATGCACCGGACACGGTCAAAGAGACAAAAAATGTGATATTGCTCAATTACAAATTTTTCTGGCGACATATTAACTCAAGTTCAGAATTATAAAACATATATATTCCAAGAAATTTTCAAGATCATTTTTAGATGATATTTTAATCGATATTGTTAACTTTCAGGCATGATATCAGACATTCGATTGGCTAATGGAAATCACGACAATGAAGGCCGAATTGAAGTAAAAATCAATGACGTTTGGGGAGATATTTGTTCAAATGACTGGGATATTGACGATGCTCGCGTCGTTTGTCGAATGTTGGGATTCGATGGAGCGGTCGAACATTTTAATGATCCGGAATATGGTCGAGGTGATGGTCCTGTCTGGATGAATCGTGTCCAATGTTCGGGACGGGAGGAACATCTTTCCGACTGCATTTTTCAGGGAATTCCTATTTATGACTGTGACGAAACAGACGACATTGCCGGTGTGGAGTGTATTTCCAATGTTAAGTATTCCTATGTTCTAAAAAATTTTCTTACGTACATTTCTTTTATCCACCTGGAGTAAAATTACAACAACCTTAAATCCCGTTATTGGACATAACTAATCAACTCGTCAACGAGTGGATGACATTTAATATTCATTCACTTTTGTCATTTTTTTGATATTTTCGAGGTGTCACCTACTTCCTTTCCACCACCGGTCAGTGATACAAACTAATTATGTGAAAAAAGGGTTTTGGCACACGAATTTTGGCCCCGTCGCTCACTCTGTATAATCTCGTAGTGGGCACTTTCAGAATGTGCCCATTCAGTTCTATGTTTGGATAAGTCACAAGTTATATGTAACCTATTCAATATATTACTACTTGAATAAATGGTTGCATTTGTTCAACAATGACCTAGCTGAAGCCAAAATCTAAATTCGTACAATGTAATAGGACAGTTATAAATTTTAAACAGATCCACAAGAGGAAGTTAAACTTGAATTTGGAGCACAAAGTAATGAAGGAACGGTTTTCATAAAACGAGATGGAATCTGGGGAACAATTTGTGACGATAATTGGAGTATTGAAGCAGCAAATGTAGTTTGTCATATGCTGGGATTCGAGCGGGCGTATGCTGCTCACACGTACACAAGCTACTTTATAGCTATCATAAAATTTCATTATATTTAATAGATTTAGGATTATGAAATTCCAGCGAGAATTAGGTAGGCGTGGCGTTGCAGTATATTTTACCCGGGGTCGGTTGGTGGACAATAGATTTCAATCCGATACCAGCGGTGCCAACATAGCAAAGTCTAAAGCTTCAAGCACTTGGTCCTGGGTGTCGCGCCCACAAGTTAAATTAGTTTTAAATATTGATTTCGGTAATGGCCAACTGTTTGCTTTATATTTCGTCGCACATGCACTGCAGAAACGTGAACATAGTTCTATTCTAGTGATTGCTTCTGTGTTAACGATACATGATGAATTTGTTTTAGCCGGACATGCCATTGATTCTGAATATAATAAAGTTTTGATATCGACTAGTTTGACAATTCTGGCCCTAAAATTCTTATATTAAAATTATCATTCCGTAAATGCAGTTTGCTAAAATATGAGTAGCATTTATTTCCATTGTTCTGCTTTCTACAGTCACGCATACTACGGTGAAGGAGAAGGACAGATATGGCTGGAAGATGTTACCTGCCGAATTGACGAGTGGCATATTTCAAGATGTGAACATGATATGTGGGGAGATCATAATTGTGAACACGACGAAGATGCAGGAGTTCACTGCTTAAGAGAAGTTAAGCATTGGTATATTAGATACCGGCAGTTGCTTTACCGATCAGAGTAATGTAGTGTATGATGCCGTATTGTGTTAGTGATTACTTCGCTAGCCATATGGTGTCGCCTTTTGAAAACGAAATTATGACGGTATCCGATTTGTCGACAACCAAGCAAAACGGACGCATAAAAATTAAAATAAATTCAGTCTTAGGGTAGATTTAATAATGAAAAAATATTTTAAATTTAAAAAAAAATAGAATATATTTATAATAAATTATGTCCGTTAGGACAGATTCATTTCGCACCAACAAACCGTCACCGAATTTGATGGCGCTAAATCAGCCGGTACCCAAACCCTTCACGGGTTCTCAAACAAACAAAAATAGGGCTAATTTTAAACACTAGCATAGCTAATCAATTTTGACATTATTTAAAATATTATGATTATTTTAATTAGAGTATTTTATGAGCAGGTGAAGCATGCGTTTCGAATGATGACTGCGGCAACGATGGGACATGTGGAATAACTTCAGGAGAATGTGGTTGTGCTGCAGGCTTTTGTGGGAAATCGTGCAATGAAATAGGCAAGATCTTATATATGAATGATTTTATTATATAATATTTAAATTTTTGTATTTGTACATTCAATCTGCGAACATTTTCTATTTATGTTCGAGTGTTGCAAAATCTTTTGTTTGCATGTATTAAAGATATAGAGCTCCAGAAGTGTGCGTACCAATACGGAGCTAACTAATTTTGTTCGACTACTTTACATCAAGTTGTATAAATGGACCTATGGGCAAGAGTATATTTACTTGGCTAACACAGACAGTCCCCGACCTCGTAATAGAACTAAAATTGGAATGAATTATGGCCTAACCCCAAATTAGTATCTATACTACGGGAGTATCATATACTCTATTTGGTACTCCCGAAGTATGTGAACCAAGATGGCGGACACCGGAACATAGTATGTGTACCAGATTGGGGTTAGGCCATAGTTTTATTCCAATTTTTCTTGTTTTAGTTCTATTACAAATTCGGAGACTAGCCAAGTGACTTCCGTAGTATTTGTACCTGAAATTGTGGCCTAACCCTAACCTGGTACACATACTACGTCCCGGTGTCCGCCATCTTGGTTCACATACTCCGGGAGTATACCCTTTATTTTATGTATAGTTATGTTTATAAACCTTTTGTTTTTACAAATTATAAATTATAGAAGATAGGCTTCACTTGAAAAAAGTAAATTGATTCCACGACTGTATAGCTATTACATAAGCTTACGAAACATTTCCGTCAATTGAATTATTGATTTCATCAATGTATATGATTCATTAAAAACACTTATTACATTTGTCCGATTTCTGTTATTATATTGTATCATAATGTTTATATTATTGGAGACTGCTCGCGCTAGGCTTATTTCCTGATCTAATATTACTATTTTAACTGTTGAGAAACAAAAATGGAAATATTTCAAGCATGTTGATAAATTCGTTATAAAATATAAGCCAAAATTACATATTCTGTATAATGATTATGCAGTTGATTTGTTATATATAATACTTTTAAAATGAGGGAATAAAAACAAATTAAAGTTAATTTAACGAGGAAAAAATCTGTTAAATCTCTTTATGATTCTATATTAACTGGTAGATTGTGCAACAATTGATTGTGTGAACGGAAAATTGTTTGATGGATTTTCATCGGCTGAATGTAGATGTACAGGCAATTTTGGTTTGGACGAAGACGGATTATGCACAGTTGAGGGTATTATTTCATGACTAGAATGAATTTTCTTTGTGCCACTTTGATATGTGATTTCACTTGCTCAAAACGCGATCTCAATCGCATACCAAAGTAGCTCATTTTTCTTTTTTTCGCATTTTTCAGATATTAAATTCATTTAGAATTAAATTTTGAAATATTCAATTAAATAAAAGAAGAAAACTTACTAGTGCTTATTTTATTTAAATTATTCAGGCGAATCTAAATGCGATCCACCTTGTACTGAAGGGCTCGGATATTGCTTGCTCCAAGAGCATACCGATTCGGTTTATTCATGTGATTGCATAGAAGGAGTGGACGATTGTACAGAAGGTAGGTAGTCTTCGTGACTGGGTAAGTCTCAACAGTACACAGGGATACTAGAGGCGTGATCTTAACATTTCGTCAAATCCAGTCATCAGTAAATCATTTGTTCACTATGCTGAAAATACCAAACCTGGTTAACGAGCGAGACCGTTGGTAGACACTAACAAAACGTGATAAATAGAATAAAGTAGAACTATATAAATTTTTTATTTAATATAACTAAAAAAAGCAATAGGTACGCCAAGGCGACATGGTAATGAACAGTAAAGGATTAATATCTAATAAGTATTTAATCTAAGTAGTAGTTTGAAAAATAGTTCGTTTCGCCCCACCGGTACAAATTCTTTCCTTCTGAAATTAGACACGATTGAACGGAGATATCATATCAACAGTCAACTTTGTTTCGAATTTATTTATTTTTAATGCAATGTCTAATTTTAGAATCAGATGACATAGTAAGAATCGTCGATGGAGTTGCCGATCACCAAGGGCGAGTTGAAATTTACCATGATGATGAGTGGCGTGCAATTTGTGACGATTTATGGGACCTTGAAGATGCTCATGTGATTTGTCGCATGCTCGATTATTCGGGCGCCGTTGCAGCTGTGCACGATGCTCACTTCGGAAAGTGTGGTTGCGGATACTGGTTGGACGATGTTCGGTGCAATGGACACGAGGCTCATATATCTGATTGCGTGCATCGACCATGGGGCAATCACAATTGTGGCTCATCAGAGGCGGCGTCAGTCATTTGTGAAAGTAAGATTTACTGAATAAATGAGGTTGGCGTATGGAATTATATACAGTATTGTGTTATGAGATATCGGTGCAGGTATACATATACATATGTTAGCTGCTTTTAATACCATCTCTCAAGACAAAGATCAGTCTAACAAGACTAAGATCTGCTTAAGATCATCTTTGTTAAAATGCTGTGGAAAATTCCTAAAGGTTAGTTTGCGTTGGGAAAGTGATTTGGGTACAGCCACAACTTACGACTATTCTAACGGTATTCTCAGTCTTTCAGAGCTTACATGAGCGATTGTATATACAACATACCTACTTGTTACGAGGTATATATGACGTGAAAAATCGCATTACCAAATTATGAATCTTCTAAAATTTGGCACCTGTCTTTCAAATATACGTAAGGTTTTTAATTGATATTTATTGTTTAGTGCCGTGTGATTCTGGACCATGCAAAAATAAAGCGAAGTGTAGAAATCTCAATAAAGAAGAATACGAATGTACCTGTACTCCTTCGTTCAAAGGACCAACTTGTGAAATACCTTGTTAAACAAAGGTGTGTGCTATTTTTCGAAAAACAAAGATTATATTGTTTGTTGCCCAGCATCTGATATCGCTGTCTCTAACTCAACTACAAGGACTATAACAGTCGATCAAAAATGATATCCTTTGTGCTATATTGACAAGCAATAAAACAAAACTGCAGCCAACACGAACCAGAATATTCTGGATTGTTACGGTTGGTTAGTCATAATTATGACGTAATATCAAAGCCGTAGAAGACTAAACTCCATCCATAGTTGACGCACAGCAAGTAACGCGCAATGTGCAGTAGCATCAGTAGTGTTGGTGTTGAGAGGGTACAATAAAGTAAATTAAAAGAAGAAGATGAAGACTTGTACACAAATGTGCAAGAATAATTTAGTATTTGTAATCTACTTTCCGATACAAACTTTGCGTCCCGATCCTACCTACGCGATTCTTTTGTCAAAATGTAGTAAAGTGATAAATTGATCTTAAATATTCCAAAGCATAACGTTTACATATATATTTCTGGGAGAGCAATGATGACACACCTCGGCCAACCATTTCAAGTGGAATATGGACATAGTTATGATGCTAATCATTCAATACGCGTGAACGTTTATGGTGAATCACGCAGTAACAAACCCTGGGTTACATGAAACAACCACTTTAGAAGGGAATACACTGATCGAGTGTTACCTAATTACCTTATGTCACTTGCCCTTTCGCGCTTAGGTCTTGCCGCACATTAACACCTCAAAATATCATGGATTATTGAACCTCATTCCCACGACAGCATCCTTGCATTATACGGATCCACTGACGAAAATGCATAACGGAAGGATATGGAGTTAGTTTCGTGTAACACAATCTGATAGCTACAATATAGATATGTCTTCAGTGTGAAGTCAAAGAATAACATTGCTTCCTTTTTTTATAGATCGATAGGCGGAGAGCAAAAATATATCCTGTTATATCTATATACAGAATTATACGATGCAGAAGAGAAATTCCGTAACACTTTATGATGAACCTGGAAAAAAATAGTTCATTATTATTTTGAAAAAATTCTAAATCAAGACTTGGTTATATGATTTGGGCGTGTCTCTTTTTAACTCCATCCGCTGATTTCGATAAAAAATTTCAAACCTAATGAAATGGTTGTTTCTATTTGGGAATTATCTATATTTTAACAATATAATATATATATATGCATGGGCTACAACGATTAACAACTTTCCTTTGCATCTAGCACAGTTTTGATAAATATTTCATTGTCTGATCCATTACATCAGTGAAGATTAGATAAAGCTTCTGCATTCTCGAAAATTGACACTGGTGAAGTAGAAACTTGAATAAATATGTGTGAACTAAACTAAGGGCATAGTAGAAAGAGGAATTGATCACAGAGAAAACTTTCTGATTGACAGCAACAAGTTAACAGGGCTGGTTTTCCATAGCAAAGGTTTGAAATAAATCAAGCTACTTGGTTATAATAGCCAACGAAAAAGAATGGTAAATACCGTGCTTTCCCGAAAATAAGACCGGGTCGTATTCCAATTTTCTTCCGAAAAATAATACCAGAGGTTATTTTCGGGGGATGTCTTATTACTTATCGATCTCGGTCGATCTATTAGTATTCACACAGCGTTGGCAACTGAATTATAGTCACTTCGAGGATCAAAGAGATTAGAAAAAGATGTTGTTAAAGACTGATCTTGGTAAGGTTTTGGTGCCAGCTTTAATTGCTTTAAAAGGTGAAAACATTTGTTGTTGTTGTTCGTTTTCATTTGAGTAAACCATGGGCAGAATTAAACACAGCTCTTTTCTTCCATTTCGAATGATCGTTCGTTTGGCAGGAACAGTAGTGATGACATCAGGGATCAGACAACACTTGTAGTCTTACCTTAATTGGAGGTAACTATCCTAAACAGGTAACTTGGCATTCTCAGGTACATGGTATTGTAACTTCTTATGTAAAATCTTTGGTTTATCGAAAAAATATGATTGGCAATTTTAGGAGATATCCATTCTCTGTAGTCTATTCAATTGCAAGGGTCGGCAACCTTTAGAATTGAAAGATCCAATGGCATCCTTTCCGTCAAACTCAAACCCACTCGGAGCCGCAATATCTACTCTAATGTCAGTGGTTATCAAAACTCTCTAAAAACCACTCATGATGCAATATCCTAATTATTACTTAGAAGAAACCGAATGAAAATTCCGAATGATGCATTAAATCAGTTTACGATGAAATGAAAAGAACTTGAAAAATGAAATGAAAAAGATTGTTTTGACAGATTTGAATCAACTTAATGCGACCTATTTTTACCGCTTTCGACTTATACCCGCTGTGACGTGTAATTAGTGAGTAGTAATCGATTTTAAGCCCCCGACTTTTATTGAATTTCCATTGCTTCAAACGACAAACTGCTGTAGACACTTTGAACCAGTGCTCCGAGAACGAAGAGCCGCATGCGGTTCCGGAGCCGATCGCTGTTCTATTGCAACACTATTGATGCATGCCTGTAGACGCCAAATTTGGAGTGCCTTTAGCGCCCACACCAGGTGTAATTCTTAGATGGTCGATCTGTTTTAGTAAACTGATTTTGTCACTCCAATGCAAAAAGACGCGTATAACAGTACAAGTTGATGTCGTTTATTGTCGGGAAAGTACAGGTGTACGAAGATACGTCGGTACGATGTTAAAAGTACGAGAATACGACAGTACGTGATTACGTCAATACGTGGATACGAGAGTACGTCAGTACGAGAGTACATCAATACGTGTACGGGAAGTACGGCAGTACGGTTTTCTAAGTAAAACAAACAATAATTACAACAAAAAATGTGCCGGCAAGATATAACTCGACAATTGAAATCATTAACTAAACAAAATTGTACACATTAGAACTGAACTTAACATACGCAGGTTTAGGTTTACGCCAGTAAAATAACAGTTGCGGCTGATTACAAAAGTGGTCATTATAGAACACGGTACAACCGAAATATTCCCTAAATATAAAAACAATAAACTGAAATAGGTACTTGACAGTGTAGCTTTCAGCTTACAAAACAATCGACAGTTGATTGGGTCAGTTATTGAAATTAAGTTAATGTTATTAAATCTAAATATATGAAAATACAATTAAAACCTTGGAACTACAAATCTGCAACCAGACAACGAAAACCTTGCACCACAAATCCCACAGTCCTGAGAAGGTCGAATCAAGGTCCTGAAGCAGCGCGCGCAGCAAACGCGCATGGGGTATTATGATGTCACAATCACTAAAATCTGTGAACGTATTACCACCAGCGCCTCCAGTGGTAAACAACAAAAAATATAATGAAGCGAAAGAGGCAGTTTCATTGCCTGTTGTTATCAGAATTTTTACAAGTCATTAATTAGGTACTTGATATTTGAATTTTTTCTTTTGTGTTTCTGAAATAAATCATTCCTGACAAAGAAACTGTGCATTTTTTGCCTTCCTGAAAATATAGTTGTCATTTTAATGAGATTTTGCAAAGTTCGTGGTCGTGGGTAATATAATGGAGTTGGGGCTAACCGTATGGTTACAAATATAATTAACACAGATTTCAAAACAACACTTCGAAATCATTTATTGGTCTGCAAAAATTCAGTGCTATTTTCATTACCAATCTTTCCAATTTCAACTTTTCCAAATGTTGATATCAAACTGATAATTATAGGCTGCCAATGATTTGATTGAAAAATATCATATTCTCAAATCCATATTTACAATGATTTCAACACACGCGATGCATTATTAGACTTTTTACTCACTTAACTGTTTCGTTTGGATGGGATATACATGATTTCAGCAGAATCACAAGGCCGCATATATATATATATAATCTTACCATCTGGAGCAAAAAAAAACGGGACAGTGCGTGTTAGACAAGCATGCAATATACAATTTATCTCTCTATCTAGACTAGAGAAGTGAGTTGCAAATTTGTGTGTAAATCGGCTGCCTCTGTTAAAAAGTAAAATTGTATTAATATCAAATAAAAATAATATTTATGACTGTCATACATACTGCATAACCGGAAAATTTAGGTCTACCTGGCGGGACAAATCGTTAAAAATCGGTACCACCCAGGCTCAACATATATATATATCGATCAAGATCGATAAGTAATGAAATGGTGTTGCAATCGAATTCTATTTTGACATTTTTGAGTTTTGAAAAAAATATATATATTATATATACGTTATATATATCATTTGTAGCTCATCATTTTATATATACTCAAAATCAACCTTTTTGCAGATATCCACGAGTGCAGTGTAGGGGTAAAAATGTAAGTGCCTGTAGCGATAACGAAACAAATCCAAAGGCTTTAAAATAGAAAAAAGATAGATCCTACATTAAATCTATTATGAGTTGCGCTCTTTTATTGACATTTCCTCCCTCAGGAAACACCGTCATGTATGTCAATTTCTGTCATTGTCCTATTACCATTTGGCATTGATGGTAAATATGTCTGAGAAAATTTACATGTAAAAGACGATATTGTAATATTTATTTCTTGTTCTTTCTTCGACCTTTGATTACACAGTATACATATCATTCCCGGTATTCGACCGGACACCTCTGCACTGCAGTGCTTTTATTTCCGGCACAATGAAATCACTGCGCTATTGAGTAGAATTAAATCACAGGAAAAGAACGGCGCACCCCGACCTAATAGCATATAGTTTACTGCTTATACACAAAACAACAGGAGTCATATATTTTCAGGGACAAAAGTTGTAGATGTTTGTATTTATAAATATATACATGTATATTTTGTTACAGATTGTTAGACTTAGTATACAGTATGTATAAAATTGCAATAACACCGATTTGCTATTGTTTTGTTATATTTTTTAAAATGATGTCAGACGCACACCCTATATGTATGGACGATAGTGCACCTACAATCAGGTTAGTACACATCTGGTATTTTCTATTAAAGGTATATAAATATGAGCCTGTACATACATACATATATATATATAACAACGTATTCTTTTTATAACACAGTATTAGGCTACATAATGATGCATTTTCTTGTGAATTTGAATGACAGGATACATTTATAAACAAGATACGAAATGCAATATTAACCACTTTTTCTATTTTAATTAAAAGTTTCTTTTTCGAATTTTTTTCAAAATTTAGATAGAAATTAAATTTTCGCATGACTATTTATAGTAACAAAGTTATCGCTCATTTTAAATTAAATTATAAATTATACACAAAATTGAATATTGGAATATTAACTTCAATACGCATCAGACTTTAAATTTTGCAATTGCAACAATGATTTCATCACCTAGTGTGCGCGTAGCCTACAATGTTTACAAGTTTTTTTAGGTCAATTCTGACCCGAAGTACAAACATGTTCAGCTCTTAGACGCTTTTCTCAGAAACGAAAAAAAATGTTTGTTCAAGACTGGATTAATTTTGGGGAAAGTGGGAAATGGAAGATTTGAATTCAATTTGGCCCGGGTAAAAACGCGGGGGCCTTTTAAAATTGAGTAAGGCTTTATTGGAGAATATCAACACTTCACCAGGGGCCTTAAAATGGGGCGTCAGCAAAAATTTAGTAAGTGAGGTTCAATTGAAAATTATCAATAATCTAGCTATCATCTGGAAATTTTATTCTAAGTAATTTATATAATTGTGCTTTGTGTTTATATCTTTGACAGTTATATTTTAACGTGACTTTCACTATATGAGCAAATAGAATATTAAAAAGATGTTTGAATAGTCTTGGAGGCAATTCCAGTCGAACATGCTAAACTTCTATAATTAACGTATTTATTTATATTGAGGTTTAGAGTTAATCAGGTTAATTAGCGGGCGGCAACAATTTCGATCATTTGTAATTTCCAAATTATATCTCCCATCTTCGAAAAAGGACGAGACTGAAATTTGCTTTACTTCACAATGCTGGGCATATTCATATTCGAATTATAGTAATCTTGAAATTCACTAAAACTGAACACTAAAACATGTTTATTGAAATTAAGATAAGATTTTTTTTATTATTATATTGATTTCTGGGGAGAGGAAAGCCGATAAGATAGCTTACTCGAATGACAAACCACGCACTCTCATCGGATTGCCAGTCAATCTCCTGTATGGGATTAGTTATCTGTTTCGAATGCATGGATTTTATGATGGTTGAAGCCGTATCACACACCAGTGATAACGTGAACCCTCCTGAGACGGCGAGAAGATCGAATATCCTCTCGCATATAATTATCCCTCGGAATTCGAACCTCCGCGGGGTACACTGAATGAAACTCCTGTAGTATGTGTACCAGGTTAAGGTTAGGCCGAGTTATAGTTCTATTCCGAGTGCGGGGATTGTCTGTGTTAGCCAAGTGAATATACCCGCTTCCATAGGTTTCAGTTCCTTTACCCAATTTGATGTAAAATAAGCGAACAAAATTAGTTACCTCCATATTGGTACACATGCTTCTAGAGCGCCACTGAAAGGCGATGGCAAGCGTGTCCTAACGCATAGAACGTTGCGCCAACCGACGAGAATACTTTCCACCAGGATAAAATATTTACACTGAATGTACAATTACTTCTTACGTTGGCACACGGATTCTCTTTGTCGTCTAATCAATCTTATACGAAGATTTTATTTCAAGAGATGCGAGTAGAAAATTCAAATTGTGTGCACAGTTCGAATGGTTCGGTTGCTGCAATTCACAAAAAGTTGAGAAAATTCAAGATAAACTTGACGAAATAATTGCAAGAGACAAAAACATGTCTGAAACTTGTAGAAATCTATTGGAAGAAATGCTATGCCAGGTAGAAAAGCATTGTTTCGAAGATAGCTTGAATTTTAATTCACTTATAGTTATAGTGACTAAATTTTTAATCTTTTTTGGATTAAGATGTCGTCAAGCAGCCTTTACTATTCCGTTGGGAAAAATTCACACAAAATATAATTCGATCAATATATTCTCAAATTTTGAAAACGTGACCTTAAATTATAATAATAATTCTTACTCCAATACAGCTCACGAAACAGGGAACAAAATTCCAAGTGTCCTAAACTTGATTTTGAAAGCTGTGATTAACTTATTCGTTTGATTACTATCGATAGTCTTTGTGCTATTTGACTGTTATATCAATTGGAGCTTACTAATATTTTTGCAGCAATGTTCAGCCTGGTCGGGGCACATGTACTCAACAGAATACAACTTTGACGAAACAAAAACTATTAAATATCCTGGAATTTGCCCCAAATATGCAGGGAAATTATACAAAAATTGCAAATCGTATTTTCCAATAATTTTTGATCTGAAAGAAACAATTGAATTTTCCGAGTTCAATGAACTTATGAAAGCCGGTTCAGATCGATATTGCTACCCCGACGTGGAAAACGTAGAACAATCTGTGAGACGTCAAGGGAATCATGAAAGTATCTGATTTTATTAAATTTATTTCATCATCGATTATTATACTGCAGATTTCTATTGCTATCAAAATAATTCATTTTTTCATAATGCATGAACGAACTACTTCGATCCCACGATACAGCTAACGCCCAGGTTATATATATACATTTTTTTTAGATTGTTTCCGATTTTGCCTTGAGGAAGTTGTCAATGGCTTGTATCAACCCATTTCTGCTAAATTCCTCGATGACGGCACTAGAAGGTACGTAGATTAAGTGGTACCATTTTCAAGAGTTTCAAGGTTTTATTGATAAAATGAATGTATCTCAAATATTACCAATGAAGCTCCAGTTAGATTTTAAATATATATTTGTACACTGGACGCCATCAATCCGCATAATATAGCTGATATAAAGGGTGTTTCCTAGAGAGTCGACCTGTCTGTTTATCATAACAATGACCAATCAGAAATTAGTTTGCAATTTTTAATTGAAATGATGTTTGTGAATATGTAAACCAGTTTGTGAGAACATACTGGCAAATAACTCTCAAAAATCCTGCCATTGTATATAGTACATTGTATATGGGTCAAGGTTCGGGGGTACAACCATTGTACATATCCCCGATCTACTTCCCAGGAACGCGACAAAACCCCATTTACGAAGCTTTCTTAAATTTTAGGTTAAACGTGAAAACAGTTATGTTTTCAAAAATGGGCTATAAAATTAGAGTGAGAAATACCACAAATTGGTGTTTTTTTTTGTGATTTAAAACCATTATTGTAATATCATTCACTTATTTTATTTCTCAGGTTTTTGGTTGCCGAGCTTCGAGGTGTTATCTGGATGTATTTATCTGATCGATCGAAGATAGCAACGCCATTCCTTGATATCTCTGATAAAGTTAGAGCTGATATGACGTAAGTAAATTGTGATAAACATTAATTAGTACGATTTGAGGAGGAAAAAAAAAAATTGATATCAAAATTCACGAGTGGTTCCTCATTGCGAATCATACATCATGATAATTGTAGAAATCATGATGCTCTGATTTTTTGCTAAGGTTGTTCATGTATTTTTTGGGGAGTTATTCGGATTATATATCAACAAATCACTTTCCCGATTTTCACAGCAGTAACAAAACGTCCATAGGTCCTTCGTATGTTCAATAATATATATATATTACTAATGTATAATGTTAATTGGACCATGTTCATACTTTATATCATCATTCAAATATTAATGAAGACTATTTTTATGGCCAAAAGTTGCCAATCATATTTCGCGTTAGGCGTCACTTTAAAAACAGATCTAAATCATAAAATATATTTTAAACTATTTTTGTATTTTAGTTCACAAGTTGAAATTGGATTTAAAGACTTCGTTTTTCATCCAGACTACAAAACCAACGGATACTTTTATGTAATGTACGTTTATTCTGGACTGAATCTGCGGATCTCAAGATTTGAAGTAATAAAACCTATCATATTTTACATATATTTTGAGCGTTTCTGTAAGATCTGAAAAAAGCTTCTTTTTTTTTTAAAAGCAGCCTACAACTACAATTAATGTTGAATTGATAAGGTAGTTCATTAACACATAACATCTAATACTTAATTATTATACCATAAGACGGTTTATACGTGAATATTATTTGAAAGCATTTTTATCTCCATAAAAGATTTCCAAAAATGACATGAACAGAGCTGATAAAAAATCCGAATTGGTAATTCTCCAAGGAATCCATCTGGACGGAACATCACACAACGGCGGTTCATTGTTCTTCGGAAAAGATGGATTCCTTTATATTTCAATAGGAGACGGTGGAAACATGCAAGAACCATATAACCGCGCTCAGAGCAAGTAAGTAGATTCTGTTTAATTTTTAGTTTACTGTTTAAAACAGTAGAGTTGAGTCATTGCGATGGTGTATTCATATGATTCATGGTGTTTATGAGCAAAATATTGACTGGGCTTGAAATCTGACTGAAAATGTAAATTTTACTCTAGTGCATGACGATGCCAATGTCAGTGTTAAATGTGATCATTGATCAGCTAAATTTGAAACAAAGAATATTCCAATCATGTGTTTTTCTGTTGCACAGTTGCTAGATAAAACCAATTTGTAATTTGTATTATCATCACTAAAAATACTGTTATGATAGTTTAGGAACATTATTTCAATTTGGTAATTTCATGTTATCTTGATATATAATTTACCATTTTTGTTTGTTTTTCACAGAAACAAATACCTTGGTAAAATTTTGCGAATCGATGTCAACAGTGAACATGGTCGATATTCTATTCCCGAAGACAATCCTTTCGTTAAGGATAAAAAGGCGAAACATGAAATTTATGCGTATGGACTTCGCAATCCTTGGAGATGCTCAATGGACAGAGGCAAGAGCTTAATGAATATTTCTGATTATATTGGGTTCTAATTATGATTTATTACATATATAATTCATTCAAATATTCGGTACTCGTGAAGTATGTGAACCAAGATGGCGGACACCGGAACGTAGTATGTGTATCAGATTAGGGTTAGGCCATAATTTCAGGTACACTACGGGAGTCACTTGGATAGTCCCCGAACTCGTAATAGAACTAAGACAGGGAAAGTTGGAATAAAATCATGGCCCAATCCTAACCTGGTACACATGCTACGCTTCAGTGTCTGCCATCTTGGTTCGCATAATTCGGGAGTACCAAATATTTTATATATACATGAACTCTTCATGTCTCCAAATTTAGAAACCCTTTTCAATATTTTTCTGATACGAGTTGTATCCTAATCCACATCAGCTGTGCACAATCTATTCAGGATAACAATATGGATTTGTTGTGAATTATAGAAAAAAGTAACTTGGCCAATATGAAGATGTAATATTGATCTGAAATATCGTACAATACATCCATTTTGTGTCCAATACTGTGATCAAGTTTACCGCCTCAATTCGAGTAACTTCTGAAGCAACTCCCAACTCTGTATCATCTCTCATCAAACTCACTCGTTAATCCAAATCCTCACTCCTTAAAATCATGATTTGATAACTTTGTTTCTTTGTTATTTTAGCCGAAGGAGAAGAGAGAATATTCTGTGGTGATGTAGGATTGAATTCATATGAAGAAATTGATATTATTCAAAAAGGCGGAAATTATGGATGGAGAATAAGAGAAGGGTTTCACTGTAGTCCGATTAAAAACACTGGATGCACGTCGGATGAAAACAACCTTAAAAGTAAGAAAATCATCCGATACAACAAAATTCATATTTATAACTCTTACGGTTATCAGATTGACTGCAATCCAAATTTGCATTTCTATAAAAAAGGACAATCAACCTTTAAAATGAATACTCCCGTAGTGTGTGTACCAGGTTAGGGTTAGGCCATAATTTTATTCCGATTTCTTTATTTTAGTTCTATTACGAGTTTAGAGACTGTCTATGTGTTAGTCAAGTGAATATAGGCTTCTGTCCCTTTACACAACTTGATGTAAAGTAGGCGTACAAAATTAGTTACCTCCATATTGTTACACATGCTTCTGGAGCGTTTTAAAATGTAACTAAATTGTTTATATCAATTCAGAGAAATTCATCGAACCGATAATCGAACACGATCACTCGGAAATGGCAGCTATCATAGGTGGATATGTTTATCGTGGGTGTAAATACCCAGAATTAAATGGACTTTACTTCTACTCCGGATTTCAGTATGTGTAAGTTGGAAAATTTGTTTTTTTATATCGTGAGATTTTTCCAGTTTGATAGTTACGATGTTAAGAAGTTATAGAGTTATATAATTTTGTCAATTTTGATTTTTTTTTTTTCAAAATGTATCATTAATGTCAGTCATAATATTTAGTCAATTTTTTTTTAGTAATTATATCAGAACTTCTATGTGCTCGAACATACTATATATACTGTATTTTTTATATACTTGCTAAAGTTGTCCTGTCCATACCGTTATGCGTTACGTTCAGAATTCGGCGCTCCCGAAGTGTGTGTACCAATATGGAGGTAACTAATCTTGTTCGCATACTTTACATCAAGTTGTGTAAAAACTAAAGAGACTGGAACCTATGGGCATTGGGTGTATTCACTTGGCTAACACAGACCCCGAACTCGTAATAGAACTAAAATGAGTAAAATCGGTATAACATTATGGTCTAACGATAACAAAATATAACGTTTACTCCAAATACATCGATTGCAGAGTCGATAAAATTTGCGATCGAACTTCGAGAAAAAAATTGAATTTTGATAATTTAATTAAAGTTTCGTATTGAGGGTGAGGCAACGTGAGAATGCATATGTTATAGATTTATATATTATTGTTGCTGTCTTATTGCGCTTATAACATCAGTGATCTTTTTGCGTAACACAGGGTGAACCCTAGTATGCGCCCAAACCCTGGTTGAAATCCACTGCTCTAGAATATAAACAAATAGAGATTACTCAATGCGTCTCAAAGCGCCATGTAGCAGGGATGATTACTTTATAACATATCAAAAGCATTTCAATGTGACATTTCTGATTTACAGAAGTCCAATTGCCCTGAAGGAGATAGACGACGGGTCATGGGAAAGGTTTGGAGTTTGCTTTGAAGAGAAGTTGTGCACAAACCATGGACTATCAAGTAGAGAAATGTTTGTAACTTTATCGTTTGCTGAAGATACTGATGGTAGGTATAATACAATCACTACATTTCAACCTTTCAAAAAAAAAAAGGGGGGGGGGGGCACCTGTCCCACTAGATCCGCGGTACATGTGGGACAAGTGGGAATCGCGGGACAACTGAGACACGTGGGACAGGGGGCAAGTGAGATGCGTGGGGCGGGCATGTGGGACAAGTAGAACACGACATTTTTGAGACACCGGTATATTTACCACGTTTCGAGTAAAAAATTTTTATCTGGTTTGACTATAATTATGTTTAAATTAATAATAACGCTAGCACACTGTCTCAGCCGTTTGATCCTTACTAGTTTCTCATCGTTTCAAGCCTTACGGCTTACAGCATAAACAAGCAACATGTAATCTGAGATTCGAACTAAATTAAAAATAAGTTCATGTTATTTTTAAACACAAACATTGACTCAAATCTTTCGAATTTTGATAACTTTACTTTCTTTCGCATATAAAATATTTTTCATTTGATTCCCTCGTATTAAATAAAATCACACATTCGCTAGGTAAACCACTACATTTAATACTATTCCTGGACAGTTTGTGTGATACTGAATGTCTCTCTTTTTATGGCAACCCTAGCAAATTCCAGCAACAGCTGGACAAAATATATTCTGTTCGGAGTGTCATTAGATTACTTTTCATAAATTTAATTAATTATTTAGATTTGATTTATTAGATTAAAATCACACATTCGCTACAGTAAGCCACACTTAAATATTACAATAAAATATTTCCGGACAGTGTTTGGGAGATGATGAAGAGTCCATTTCCTGTGGCAACCTTATATTCTAGCCACAGTTAGACGAATTATATTATGTTTGAAGTAAGATGGTATCGTTTGATTACCTGTCATGGAATCAATGAACCTAATTAAATTTCGATTTATTTCTGCCACGTTTTGTCTTGATTTCAGGTAGAGTGCTTAATATGCGTCCCTTTTGAGCTTCTCAGTCGGCAGCTTTAATTGGTATTTCGTGCAAGTCGCTGAACGTCATCATTGAACAATTTCAATATTTTATTTCTTCTATATTTTTATTCATCCAGGTGAACTGTACTTACTCGGTTCTGCGGTATCAAATGCTGGGCAAGCTGGCGGACGAATGCACAAATTAATCTACATGGGTTCTGATGGCGAAAGTCAGTCAGAAGATAGCTGCGGAGAATCTCGTCCAACAACAAACGTAAGAATAAACAATGATACAACTGTTATCAAATACAAAGAATCACCACGTGAGTATCTCAAGGATGTATCGAAGGCAAGTACAAAAAAAATGCATGAAATTTTAAGCAATTCTTTGTGGTTTAGGGTTATATTTCCGCTTTATGAAAGGAAACGCATACAATGGATTGAACGGTAGATTGGGGGTGCGAAAAGAAGGTGGAGAATGGGGTACAGTATGTGGAAAACATTTCACAAAGGCTAACGCAGCCGTCATCTGTCAGATGCAATCACGTTTCTATCCGAAAGGTGACGTTTATTCATCCAACAAAGAGTTCGGAATTGGCGATGGACCTATTTGGGTGTCAAACAAAAACTGTGATAGATCAAAAAATACTTTTCTTGAATGTGTACGAAACGAATGGGGAGAAGTTGATGACTGCACTCATAAAGATGATGTTGCTATAAAATGCAGGTACTGACAACAACTGTTCTACATCATCAGACACGAAGTGAGCTTAAGGATCTGTTGACTAATTATTATTGTTCTATTGAAAAGTCTCCTTTCTCGGCAACCAATGAAACAGTATTCGAAGATGTTACTACAAGAATATTTTGCTATTATCATAGTCTCAATATTTTATTTTAAATTTGCTCATTTTAAATTCTCAAGCATATCTTTATATGGTATTCGGTACACATTTTGATATAACATTTGACACAATTCAACTAACCATATTAGATATTTAACATCCGTGTCCATGTATTTGAGCATTGTTCTATTTCTAGACAGTTTATTATACACAGTTTATTATTATATAGTCTTATCATTATCTCTGATATATATGCAAGAATAAAGGAGAATCTTTTGATTGACAAATTAATTAATATTGCAATGAAGGACACAATCACACGGGTATATTCAAAAAAGGTCATGCCATTTATAGCTTTTTTCAGGGATATTTGTAGCGAATTATTATGCGCCAAGAATAATTGGTTAACCCATGTTTTTTTTACTCACATCGAATGTAAAAGAGTGACTTTAACAGTTGCTGCTTATCTCGGAGCAGTCATTTTTTGTCACTTTATATATATAGCTGATTTAAAACATTGATGTGATAATATGATCTTGGTTATAAAGTAAGCTTTGGAAAAGCTTAAAGGTAAAATTGGGAATGTACATATACGGTTTTCTCACAAAAGACCTTGTCTACTGCTGTAATTGGATTGCAAGATTTAACAGTACCTAAATGACTCCTTTCAGACTATTCAATATAATCAGTTGCAGTATTAAGGTATATTTAATTACAATCACAGTTGTATGACATAAAGAGGGTGCAAATTATTTCTGTGTAAGGAACGTTGTGAAGTAAACATCGACTAGACTTGACTCAAGAGGGTTTGTCACAAAGAACAAAGCGCGAAGTGTTCTTTTATTATTTACTTAGTTAACTTTTATGAGAATTCTGTGTGCGTTCATGATAAATGTCAATATACTCTATTGTACGGAGACATTAAAAAAGTTTCCGTTGCTAATCGAAAAAGTACCGATAACGGTTATTTGTTGAACTTCAATATTATTTTCTATCAGTTCATTTTCAAATTATTTAAAAAAAAATTAATAGTGTAAATTTGAAATTGCACATTTGGGAGCGCTCCAGAAGTGTGTGTACCAATATGTAGGTAACTAATTTTGTTCGCCTACTTTACATCAAGTTGTGTAAAGGGACTGAAGCCCATGGGCAGGGGGTATATACACTTGGCTAACACACTACACACACTACGGGAGTATCCATTCGGGAGGGTTTCAACGCACTATTTTTAAATGGGTAACACGTCCAACCTCATTCATGTTTACCAGGACTAACATTTTGTTGCGAGACCATTTAGTTGTCTACTATTAGTCATAAAATATATTTCATAACCTTACGCGATTAATTTAGCGTTAATGACCCTATTCCTTGCATATTATTTTTGATGAGCTGCTGTTAAATACAAGTTTGGGTTTCGTGTTTTGTTATTTACAGCCATTTTTTTTGAATTTGATACTAGCGTATCCATCCATTCTATTTTACGTATCAGGTTTTAACTTACATAAATTGAATAATATATGAACCATAAAAATAGGTAATTTTTACCTTATAAATCTCATATTAAGGTTACTGCCGACCAGCTCTTTAATTAATTAAAAAAAAGTCACCGAGCACTTGAAATATGACCACAAATATTACTCAGAATAATCCCACAACATCATTCATTGATGTTTATTTCATTAAATCGTTATTCAAGATATTTGGAAATCACCATGTGTAAAAATTATATCTGAAAGCCCTATGACGAGTGAGTCAAATATCTTTGATGTCTATGTGGGACTATGATTCAAATAAGTATTCAAGTAAGCAATCTTGATTTGATTTTCAGTCGTGTGAATATTTGTTATAGATAAGTTGGAAATGGCGATTCAAACATATTGCTATTACAGTGATCTGTGACTGGGACTAACGTTTTATTTTCAAATCCAAGCAACGTTTCTTGGCTTAGGAATAGGGAAAACCTTCTTTGGCGCCATAAACTCTGCCATCGAGTCATATCTTGAAATATTTTCTTCTTATAATATGTTTACAAACTTGAATTATTCTAACCCATTTTAAGATATTTTCCAATAAAATAAACGTTTCATTTTGAAAAGAGATTTTTGCAAATATTTGCAAGTTTCTTAATAAAGTTAAAATATTTCAACACAATGTACCATTGATCCCAGAACGTAAAATATAACATATATCAAACGTGCTGTAGGCTACAGCTATTTGATCGTTTTGGTATCAATTGTAGTACAAAGGCACAATTAATCGAAATTGCAGACACGTGTAATGGTTAACATCAAAAGCATAGTCAAAAGGAAAAATTCCTATGAACTTGAATTTCTAAAAATATCGATGACAGATAAGATAATATAATAAAGTATATTAATAGAAAAACATTCCTGTACAATCCCCCCTAAACCTTTTGGTCAATTTCGTACAACACAAAAAATTTATTTCAGATATTTTTTCGCGCTGGGAGATAGTTCCTGTACTTCAGTAATTTTATCAACATAAAATAAAAATAAAATGGCAATCATTCGCACCAATGTTTTATATGGCGTGTAAGCATTTATTCCTTATAAAAAAGTATTTCACATTTTATCCAACAATACTTTTATTTAAACAAATACCACCTTTTCAAACCCAGCGACAAAAATGAATCATTTGAACTGCGCCTTTCAAATAACCCACATTAGTAAGAATTCGGTGCTTTTCTAGCATAAATAAATGTTGTATTACATTGCTATACAATACGATTTCTAATTATATATATCGGGAAATCTTATATCTTTTGTAGCTTTTTCCCAGACAAAATTAATTTGTAGAGAAAAAGTAAATACAAGATTCTAGGAAAATACAATTCAAAATTTCGACGTCTTTTTCTAAAGAATAATATGGGAAATCACGCTAAGTTAGTTTCTATATGATGAATTTACATATTCCGAATATTCGTACTTGACCTGGGAATGAACTATCATGAACTAATCTATTCTTAAAACAATACCCGGTAGATGGTAGCAAAGAGCTTTTTAAAAAGCAAAATTAGCCGTATAGGTAATTCCGAGCGGAGAATTTTTCAAATATCGGTCAACTGACAAACGAATTCTTTGATTCATATTGCTTTGTTCATTTTGTAATGTGCAATGAATCATTTTATTTTATCTAATCTTTATAACTTTCAACGCCGCAAGCAAAAAGTTTACATATTTTCCATTGTTCTATACCAAAGCAGCTCATTTTTGATTACCAAGCTCACTTTATTCACAAATGAAGCATAAAAATTTATTTACAAATAGCTAAATAATTGCAACAAAAATAGAATTGTTTCAATATTCTTATATGCTGTTGAAATTGAAATAATAACAGGTTGAACCACAGAAAGTTTAACTTGAACTTAATGACGCTGTACTAAATATTGATGGCAAGTTATATTTTGCAACATTACACGAATCAATACCTAAGATGATTCAAAATTCAACATTCAAAATGGCTAGCTAGATTAAAACACAACGCCAAATAAATGATACTGTTATATTCAGGTAAGTCGACACGACTGAAAAGATTTTTTTGTACATTGTATAGATATTGCAAAAGAAAATTTGCTACGCAATGGCTACGTCCGAATTCAGATCAATGCCTGAATTAGTATATATGTATTATTCACAAATATATGTTCACACTTCATAACATATCACTAAAAATTGTAATGGTTTTCGAAAAATTAAAATTCCTTCGAATTCGAAAATCCCTAAATAGGGAACAAGAACAGTCTTAGAATAAAGCCAGTACTTAATCTTTAAAGTCCTGTAGACGGAGTTGTTATTTGCAACGTTTGGAAATAACCTTGTTTAATATTTCTTATGATTCTACATATCAGTTTCGAAGATAATACGTAAATGAACTTGGGTAATATGTGTTTTTTTATTACAGGTGACTTAGAATTGTACGAATGCCTAAGTAGAATATTTTTGTTCCGAAAACTAAAAAAAGTTTCAAATGACTTGAATGTGGGGGTGATTCAACGAATTTAATTGAAAAAGAATTCACTAATATTTGAATTTAATATTTGGAAGGGTTCAGGCATTAATCATATATAATTATTGTGAATTCATTAATAAAATATCAGTTTATTTTATTAATTTGAGATTCAAGTTCACACGATTCACTTAATTAAAACTTGACATCAAAATAATCTTCGATACTAATTTTGATTCAAACGAGATGGAAAGAAAAATTAATTCACCAATCGGCTTATAGTATTCGAATCTTCGTGAGTTTCAAACAGTGCAATAGAATCTAATAGATTACGTTTGACAAAAGAAACAAAAACCAATTTTTATCATAAAACAAATTACAACAATTTACATATTTTATGGTGAATTTTGAGTCCTACAGCCTATAGTATGAAATTTTATATGGGTAAAGATCTGTTGGAATATTTGTTTTTACATTAAAGTGGTGGTACTCCAGTGGTATGTGTACTAGGCTAGGGTTAGACCATAATTTTATTCCGGTTTTCTTATTTTATTGAGGTCGGTGACTGTCTGTGACCAAGGGTATATCCCCCTGTCCTTAGATTTCAGTCATTTTACACAAATTGATGTAAAATAAGAAAACAAAGTTAGTTACACATATATTGGTGCACATACTTCTGGAGCGCCAAAATGATTACGAAATTGCGCAATAATGTTTCAAGTTTAATAATAAAATTCAATTCATTTGCAGTGACCACAAACTTAATAACACATTTAAATTAATCTCGATAATAAATAGGTACTTGATTTAGTTCAAAGAATTAATTGGAAAATTTGAAATTCCCCATATTAATTTCTTTTACTTGAAAGTCCAATAACAGAATGATTTTTCCAGCTAAAAACCTTTGAATTCGTGTTTCTGTATCAAAATAGTCGATTCACATAAGATTCGATATTGAGTTATGTGATCATTTATTATGCAGTACTTCGGAATATATATATTAATATCATATACATATATATATATATATAGTGATGCAGTGATATAAGTGATGCAGTGATGCGATTTACGTCATGATCTCAAAAAAGACGCTATCGATTCTTGGTATTTCCTTGACCTGAAATAATGGACAACTTCCAGCATGAGATCGTAAAAGATAAAATTTATAATTAAAAGATTTTGGCCAAAATATCTCTGACTGCATAATTTTTATCGGCTGACAAATTTATTGAGCGCGCGTAGTACAATCAAAGTTTACTTTAAAATTCGAATTTAGAGATACAATTTTGCTTATTAATAAATATTGTTAACATTGCAAGA